GAAAAATCTGAAGAAATTATTAATAGTAGCTATTTGCCAGGGATAGCGGTGACAGGAGTAGGACTATACTAGTCTTGAGCTGGGCATGGTGGTGCATACCTTTAATCCCAGCAACCAGGAGGCAGAGCACGCAGATCTCTGAGAGTAAAGCCAGCCTGGTCTACATAGCACGATCCAGGCCAGTTGGAGCTAGTGGGAAACCTTGTCTCAACAAAACCAAAGCTCCCAGAAAAGATAATAGTTTTTATATTCCTTTCCACAATGTTTTAGTAACATACACATACTTGGTAACTCAACAAAATATTTCTTTTGTACGAGGAGTAGTCAGGACCCTTCAAATGAAAACTAGAAGAATTTTTGTAGGGAGGCATGGGAAGGTTAACGGGGAAGAGACGGTGCTGGTAGGCTGCCAATAAGCTTGCAGTGCCCTTTATCCTGGAGAATTCGTCAGGGTCCAAGGTCTAGATCTCTGCTGTGAGCGCCTGCTCAGGATGATAACCTTCGCCCGCAAGAGATGAGGGTGTGGAAGGCCCTGATCCTTGGAGGATGTGGGCACTGGCCAATTTCCAGTGTTTGGTCTTTGCCTTGCTGTCTGTGGGCTGACCAGTCCCCGCTGTATTCACGGTCTCTCACTTTGGAAATCACAAATGGACTCTAATACTCCTTCCTTGGATTGCCACCACAGTATCAAAGTTGGGGTAGTGAGGTTCTAATACGCTTTAGTCAGACAACCTCTTGGTTACTTTCAGAGGGAACTGATCACATCTATAGAATGTGATTCAGTTATCTGAGATTCTAACATCTCTCCAACAGTAATCAGCTGACATAACTGTGCATATTATGTTGGGAAAATTCCAAATGTTGTGTTTTACTTCATCCCCATGCCAGACATATGTGTACCTCACCCCTGAAGTTCCAGCTCTGCCTAGAAGCACATTTGCCTGTGAGTATTAGTAAGTATGTGGGGGTGAAGAAGAGTTGGTGTCCACTCAGTAAGTTTATCTTTGTTGTTGTTGTTGTTTTGAGATAGAATCTTACTCTGTAGCCCAGAACAGTCTGGAACTCACTTTATAACCCAGGCTGCCTGAACTCATGGCAACTCCTGCCTCATCCTCCTGAATGCTGGAATTACAAACATAAAGCCATATCATGTCAGGTTCTTTTCTTCACTAACTGACACAGGGTAAAAGTTGACATTCCCAGGCTGGCAAGATGGCTCGACAGGGAAAGGTGGCTGTGACCTTAGTTTGAGCTCTAGAACCCACATATATATGGAGAGAGAACTGACTCCACAGAGTTGTCCTCTGATTTCCACACATGTCATGGTGGACACACACACTCACTCACAGCTGACATTCTCAGGTGCAAGCTCATAGGTATGGAACTTCTCCAGAAATAAGTGGGACAAACAGAATAGAAGGGTGAAGGAAGAGATGGGGCAGCAGTGTGGGGAGGCGGAGGGAAAAGGAGCAGGCCTTTGAGGGAAAGGCCCTTGCTCTGGCTGGCTAAATGAGTGAGTGGAGCCTAGGCCCTTGCAGTGAAGCAAGAGGAACACACCTGAGTCCGACGTTGTTGATATCGTCCCAAATGGAGGCAGGGACTTCCCAGAATGGTTTATTGTTGGTGTTCAGGATCGCCTAGAAGCACAGGGAGGGTGACTGATGGGAGATCTGGAAGCAGGAAGGTGCAGAGGGCTACGTAATGGGACAACAAATGGGGATAAGGATTCAGGGATGAGGAGGGGCTCTGGAGTATAGAGTTGGATCAAGTTCAAAGGGTACCTGGACACCAGCATAGGCGTTATTAACCAGCACATCTAGCCGCCCCTGCTGTTCCCGATTTACTTGCTCAAACAAGCTTTTCACATCACTCTCCTTGCTTGAATCACATACCACAGGTACACACCGGCCCCCGAGGGACTGTGCCTGGAGAGGAACAGGGAGTATGAGTTCACAGTGGCATGATAAAATGCTTTATTTCCCTACCTAAGGGAGTCTGGGAACTGAGAAGGTGATCAGGGGGCCTAGGAGCAGGGCAACATGGTAGGCAATTGCTCCCTCTGGTGTCTGTTTTGGGAATTTTAGTACCAGTAGGTCCTCGGCAACAAAACAAGACAGATGAATATCTTGGGCTTCATGAAATCTACAAACATGGACTGAGCCTATCTTATTCAAGGCATTATATCTGAAGGTCTAAGTAGAAAAAAGCAACAACCCTTTCCTTTGTCCTTTCCGACTCTCATGCCCTTGGCCCTTGCTACCACCCTCCGGAAAGCTGACTCCACCCCAACTGTCTTTCCTTTACCCCAATCCTTTTGCTTGGAAACTGAAATAAGTTTATACTGGTAGAGCTGTTTTTCTCAAGGTCTATTTTATCTGATATTAATTCTACTCTGTTCTTCCTCTGGTTACCATTTTCATGGCATATCTTTCTATCCATTTCCTATTGTTCTATCTATGCCTTTCTTTATAGATAAAGAGTTAAGTCTTACTTACTTATGCAATCTGATCATCTTGCGTTTTTATTATTTTTTAAATATTTTATTTATTATATTTATGTGTATGAGTGTATTGCCTGCATATATGTGAGTGCACCCATGTCGTGCAGTGCCGCGGAGGTCAGAAGAGGGCTTCGGATTCCCCCGGAACTAGAGTTAAGGGCAGTTCGTAGCTGCTGTGTGGGTGCTGGGAATCAAACCCAGATCCTCTGCAAGAGCAGTCAGTGCTCTTAACTGCTGAGCCATCTCTCCATCCCCAACCTCCAGTCTTTTAAAAAGTTTTAAATATTTATTTAATGTATGTGAGTATTTTGTCTGCATGTGTGTAAGTGCACCCGTGTTGTGCAATGCCCTCATTGGTCAGAAGAGGGTGTCAGATTCCTTAGAACCAGAGTCACAAATGGGTGTTAATCACTATGTGGGTGCTGGGAATTGAACCTGGGTCCTCTGCAAGAGCAGCCAGTGCTCTTGACCACTGAGCCATCTCTCCAGCTCTAAACTTAAATTCTTCACCAGGGTAATTTTTGTTTTCAGTGTCTGGGATCAAATACAGAGGCTTGCATACACTAGGCAATCGCTTTTCCACTAAGCTATACCCAGCCACTTACTATGATCCACTGTCCCCTCTCTAACCTCATTTACCATTTTCCCTTTGCTCATGTAGATTGGAAAAGGTTTTCCTAACCTCATTTACCTAATGCCTATTTAAGACTCATTCAAGGACCACCTGGAGAATGCTTTCCCTAACAACTACCTTCAGCATCTAGATGCCTTTTCCCACAGCCCGGGAACATTCTGTGTATATCTACAATGGTTTCAAAAATCGGACTTCCTGTGGGACTCTTATCTTGTAAGAGCAGAATTTGTATTACTATTGTTTTTTTTGGTCTTTTTGAGACAGGGTCTCCCTGTAGCCCCAGCAGGCCTGGCACTCTGCCTCCCAAGTGCTGGGACTAAAGGCATGCACTACCATGCCTGGCTCAGAAACTGTATTTTTTTTCCCCCACACTGGCCCAGTGCCTAATCATAGGTAATCAAGTATTGCTATATTAAAATCCAGATAAGAAGTGAACATGTAGCTGGGTGTGGTGGTACACCTCTTTAATCCCAGCACTCACCAGGCAGAGGAAGGATGCTCTCTGAGAGATTCAGGCCAGGGTTACTGGGAGACTGGGGGGGGGGGGTAAGAATCTGTATAGTTCAGTAAGTCTTGCCTAAAAGAGAAGCACAAAAAGCTGCGGGTCCAGATCTTTTCTTTGCAATTTCCAAACCCCTGAAACACGGAAACAAGTTTTTTCCCCCCATAAAACTCTTGGTGAAAAAATTCAGTCTTGCTGGATCTATTTATTCTGCTCTGAATATTCATATTTTGCTGAGGAATATTATGGTCAGATAAGTGATGCGGAGTGGTTAACTGGAAGGATTCCCTCAGTCACTCACCTCCTGGGCAGTCGACCGAAGCGTGTCCAGATGGCGGCCGGTAATGTACACAGTGGCACCTGCCTGGCAGAGCTGCAAGGCAATGCCGCGGCCAATACCCCTGGAGGCACCAGTTACCACACACACTTGGCCCTTCATAGGTGCTACCATGACTCACAGGCGAAAGTGGAGGAAAGTTGCTTGGTGGGAATTCTGCCGATTGTGAAACCTTGCTGGAGACAGAAAGTGGAGCTAAGGCTGGAGTACTTCGAAGGGAGAGGCATTTCCCAGGACAACGGAGTGCAGGCTAGGCTGACTGTCCTTTGGGGGAGGCTCACAGAGGAAGGGAGGGTCGGGCGGGTGCTCTCCAAGGGCTAGATCCATTCTGGTGGGGGCTAACCAGGTGGGGGCATCTGGCCAGGCCGTCCAGGTGTGCCCACGGAGCGTCCCGGCTACCGGGAGTTGTGCCACTCGTCCAGTCCCGGGGGAGCCAAGCTGGGCCCTACTTCCACGCGTGGGAACCACTCAGAGGGCAGAGGTCCGCAAGCCTTACCTGCGGCGTTCGCTGCCTCCGGACTTCTGCTTCTGCCTTCTCGCCAGACCCGCATATATAGTCCGAGAACCCGGATTCCGATCTCTCCGGGGTTAGAGGGCCCGGCTGGGGCGAAGTCCGCTGCGGGCGTGGATGGGGTGCGGGATGGGGATGTGCTAGCCAGGGAGTCTAGGAGAGCGGGGGCGATGCTGGGCAGGACCCAGGGGGTGGGCTGAGCACCTGGTGACACCCACTGCGCCCGCCGCGCGTCGCGGACCTGTGACGTAGCTGTGTGCAACGAGCGCGCGCCGGCGTTTGGCAGCGGAGCAGGCTTCGTTCCCCGCGGCGTGAGCTAGGGGAAGAGGAGACCCGGGAGCGCACATGGGACAGGGTCCGCGCTCCGCTCACCGGGCCGGGCGCCGGGGCCCAGGGGGCGGCAAGCAGGGGCGCGCGGCCAAGGGCCCGGGGCGACCCCCTCCGGGCCGCGATCGTCGCCCCCGGCCGCCCTCGGAGCGGCGTGCGGAGCCGGCCCCCGATGCCCTCCCGCACCTGAGCCCCGAGGCCCTCGGGTATTTCCGACGGGCGCTGTCGGCGCTGAAGGAGGCCCCCGGGACCGGGGAAGACCGAGGTAGGGAGCACCGAAGGAGTGGGGGTTAACGTGAGCAAACCTGGGGCTCCCCGGTGGCCTTGTCTTCGTCTCTGACCCTTTAAATGTGTTTCCTCGTTTTTCCAGACTTGATGGCGCGCAATATTTTGAAGGAAGTGGAGGCTCAAGTCCTCGCTTTGGCCACGAACAGGACTGGTAGTGAAATGCTGCAGGAGCTGCTGGGATTCAGTCCTTTGAAACCTCTGTGTCGAGTATTGTCTGCTCTGCGCCCCAATTTGCGCGTTGTGGCCTGTCACCGGTGTGGGGTCCATGTCTTACAAAGTGCCTTGCTGCAGCTGCCTCGGTTGCTGGGGAACCCTGCAGAAGCAGAGGAGGACGACGAGGACGAGGAGGAAAAAGTTGGGAAGGACGGTCCTTTGGAGACTCTGGAGGAGCTAGTCCTGGGACTAGCCGCCGATGTGCGGGATGATTTTCTTTTCTACTGTGGAGACACGCATGGCAGTTTCGTGGTCAGAACTCTGTTACAAGTGTTAGGAGGTACGCTTCTGGAGTCTGAGAGGGCCAGGCCCCGTGGTGGTTCCCAGCTATCTGGTAAGTAATACAGGAAGGGAAAGGGAACCTGGTGGGCAGGAGAGACTAGGAAGCTCAGAAATTAGGCAGAGCTCAGAAGACCAAAGATGAGCCTGTCAGACATCCAGAGGTGAAGATATAGATTGTTTAGGGGACAGATGTTGACCCAGTGACAGACGGTGATTCGTTTAGAGCAATGAATTTCACTTTTTTTTTTTTTTTTTGTTTTTTTGAGAAAGGGTCTCCCTGTAGCATCTGGCCTGGAACTCACTATGTAGACCAGAACTCACAGAGATCCACCTGCCTCTGCCTCCCCAGTGCTGGGACTAAAGGTGTGCACCCCAATTTCACATTAAAAAAATATTTATTATTTTTATTTTATGTGTATGAGTGTATTGCCTGCATGTATGTGAGTGCACCCGTGTTGTGCAATGCTGAGGAGTTCAGAAGAGGGCTTCAGATTCCTCTGGAACTGGAGTTAAGGAGGGTTGGTTGCTGCCATGTGAGTGCTCTTAACCGCTGAGCCATCTCTCCAGCCCCATATTTGTTTAAAAAATTTTAATACATTTATTTATTTTGCGTGTGTTCACAGGCATGCATGCCTGCATGCCTGCCTACCTGCCTGTCTGCCACGGTGCTCCTGTGGAGGTCAGAGGACAACTTGTGGGAGTCAGTTTTCTCCTTCATGTGTGCTTCTGAACTCAGGTCAGCAGACTCGCTGGACCGCCCTTCCCGGCTGAGCCATCTTGCTGGCCCTGGTGTTTTGTTTTGAGACAGGGTTTTTGGTTACCCCAGGCTTGCTTCTGCCTCTTGATGTAGCAGAAGCTGGCCTTGAATTCTTGATCTTGCATCTGCCTCCCAATTGCTGGGATTGCAGGTGTGTGCCACTAGTGCCTGGTTGTGGTTTTGACAGGGTCTTACTATGTAGCTCATCTTGGCCTGGAACTTACCTTGTAGCCCTTGTTGGCTACAAATTCACTATCTTCCTGCCTTCTCTCAAGTGCAGGAATTACGGGTGTGTACCATCACGCCTGTCTAAGAAATTTGTTTTTAAACCAAATGTAATCTATGTATTTGTATATATACATGTTAGACCCAAGCAAAAGTTCAGGAAAAGACACCTGTACCACATGTAACATCCTCCATTCTGATATTTTCTTTTGGAATTTTATTCTCTATTTCATTAAAAAAAACGCTGATTAAGACCACTAACAATTTCATGATAGTGATCTGATGTGACCTACATTCTGGAAAACTCTAGAAAATAAGATTAGAGAATATGAATGAGGTCTGATTTTGGAATATGTTAAGTACCTGGCTGAGAAATTTGAAGTATGGATGATAAGGGAGCTTATTGAAGATTCTTAGAAAAGTCAAAACAAATGTCAGCTTGGTTCACTCAGCCAGAAGAGATTGAGTTGTATTACCTCCGTATGTGTCTCCACGCAGAATCCAGAAGAATCCAGTTCTATGGAGTTCTCCCTCTTGGTTGTCAGTTTGTGACCTCACTGTTGCTCATGCTCCTTTTTAAAAGTATTTTTAGGGTCGGGGCGTGGTGGCGCATGCTTTAATCCCAGCACTTGGAAGGCAGAGGCAGGCGGATCTCTGTGAGTTCGAGGCCAGCCTGGTCTACATAGTGAGTTCCAGGAGAGCTGGGGCTACAGAGAGACCGTGTCTCAAAAAAGGCAAAAAAAAAAAAAAGTATTTTTAGGGCTGGAGAGATGCTCAGTGGTTAAGAACACTGGTTGTTCTTGCAGAAGACCCCGGTTCGAGTCCCATCACCCACATGGCAGCTAACAACTGTCCAGAACTCTAGTTCCAGGGGATCTGACGGTCTCTTCTGTCCTCCGCAGGGGTGCACGTACCTACATGCAGGCAATACACACATACACATAAAATTATTTAAAAAAAAGTGTTTTAAAAATTTTATTATTACTTATGTGTGTGTGTGTGGGGGTGCTGGCAGAGGCTAAAAGAGGGCATTTGATTTCCTGGAGCAGAAGCTAGAGGTGGTTGTTAGTGCCCAGTGTGGGTGTTGGGAACTGAGTTTGGGTCCTCTGGAAGAGCTCCAAGCACTCTTAACCATTGAACCATTTCTCCAGCCTCAATTTTTAAAAACTATTTTAAAAATTCATTTTATTTATTTATTTAATTTTATGTGTATGTGTGTATGGCCTGCATGTAGGTAAGTGTACCCATGTCATGCAATGCCGGCGGAGGTCAGAAGACGCTGTCAGATCCCCTGGGACTGGAGTTACGGACAGTTGTTAGCTGCCATGGGGGTGCTGGGATTTGAACCCGGGTCTTCTTCAAGAACAGCCAGTGTTCTTCACTGCTGAGCCATCTCTTCAGCCCCTAAACATTCATTTTTATTTATCTGTTTGGTGGTCATGTTCTTGATCTCCCTTTAGATTCACAAAGGGCTGCAGCTTGGGAATGTAAGCCAGCTGATTCTGAGATCCCTGAGACTTTCTTGAATCGCCTTCAGGATCTGAGCTTCTGCTTTCTGAAGGACATTGCTGGTAAAATAAAAATGTATTAGTTCTTTTACACATTGCTGGGACACAATACGTGATAAAAGCAATTTCTAGAGGGAAGGTTTATGTTGGCTCACAGTTTGGGGGATCTAGTCCGCTGTGGCAGGGAAGTTATGTTGGCTCACAGTTCAGAGTCCCATATGGCAGGGAAGTCAGGAGGGCAGGAGCTTAAGATAGCTGGTTACAGATTGGGTGTGGTGGCCCACACCTTTAATCCCAGCACTCAGGGAGGCAGAGGCTGGTGGATTTCTGTGAGTTTGAGGCCAGCCTGATCTACATAGGGAGTTCCAGACCAGCTAGGGCTACAGGGAGATTCTCACACACACACAAAAAGATAGCTTGTTATATTGTGTTAACAAGCAAGAAGCAGAGAGTGAGCTTACTTTTTCCTTTTTAGTCTATCTGGGACTTCAGCTATGGAATGGTGTCATCCACATTTCAGAGGGTTGTCTCCCACCTCAAGCTAAGCTAAAAACTCCCTCATAGACATGCCGGGAGCCATGTTATCATGGTGATTCTAAAATGATCATGATTAAGCATCATGTTAGCTCTGGCTGGAAAAAGCCATTATAAAAGAACAAGGTTGGCTTCTGCTCGCTCTCTGACTTCCTGTCTCACCATGAGATCACTTCCTCTGCTACTGTGATGCCTTCTGCCCTGACAGCCTCTCCAGAGGAAGAATGGTGGGGTTGCTTAATCTTGAACTTTCACTCTCCAAAACAGCTAAATAGACCTCTTCTCTTTAAAGTAAAAACAACAGCAACAGCCGGGCGTGGTGGCGCACGCCTGTAGTCCCAGCACTGGGGAGGCAGAGGCAGGTGGATCTCTGAGTGAGTCTACAGAGTGAGTTCCAGGACAGCTGGGGCTCCAGGGAGAGCCTGAAGTCAAGTGGAAACTAAAAGTAGAATGTGACCAAAGGGAAAGCTGGTGTGTAGCTCCAGTCAGTGACTCCCAAATGAATCAATTGCTGAATTTTCAGGGAATGCTAGTTTTCTGGGAGCATTTAATACTTTTATATATTGATTTTCATACTTATTAAAAATAACTGGCATCAGATCCTCAGGACTGGAGTAATGGATGGGTGTTGGGAATCAAACCTGCGTCCTCTGCAAATGCAGTCAGTGCTCTTAACTGCTAACCCATCTCTCTAGCCACTGATATTTTAGTTTTTAATAAATTGGATAACATTATATATATATATATATAAAGAGATTAAACACCTCAGGAGGGCAGTAGTGGATGACAGCCCCTGCCTCCCTAGTGTTGGGATTAAAGCCGTGTGCCACCACACTCGGCTTTCTTCTTTTGAGACAGGGCCTCCCTGTAGCCCCAGTTGGCCTGGAACTCACTATGTAGACCAGGCTGGCCTTGAACTCCCAGAGATCCACCTGCCTCTGGCTTCCAAGTGCTGAGATTAAAGGCCTAGACTTTTTTTTGAGACATGGTCTCCTTTTAGCCCTAGATGGCCTGGAACTTGATATGTAGATCAGGCTGACCTCAGTCTCACAGAGATCACCTACCTCTGCCTCCTGAGTGCTGGGGTTAAAGATGTGTGCCATCACACCCAGCCCTATATGGACATTTTTTTTTTTTTTTGAGACAGGGTTTCCCTGTAGCCCCAGCTGGCCTGGGACTTGCTGACCTCGAACTCACAGAGATTCGCCTGCTTCTGCTTCCTGAGTGCTGGGATTAAAGGTGTGCGCCATCATGCCCAGCTCCTATGTGTACATTTTTGGTTGTTAGCCTGAGCCTTTAACAGCTGACTTATCCCTCCAGCCTGATAGATGGACATTTTTGTATACATAATCTCCCTGTCTTCTTTGAGATTTGAGGTTGTATAGATTGTTTGGGTTTAGGACAAGCTGTTAAATTATTTTTGCCTTTTCTCCACAGTGTTTATCACTGACAAGATCTCCAGCTTCTGTCTTCAAGTGGCCTTACAAGTCTTACACCGCAAACTGCCTCAGTTTTGTGCCCGTCTCTGCAGTGCGGTGATTGGTTACCTGAATACTCGGAATTCCTCGGCAGATGGCAGGTATGATCAGGTCTTGAGGAGTGACCAAAGTTGGTGGGGCTGTGTGAATTGACTGGTAAGGTGTAGTGCAGCTGTATTTCTCGAATAAGTAGTGTTAAGACTCTTGTGGCTCTTACCTTCAGCCCTCTACTGCTGTTTCTTCGGGATCAGACGAGCTCCAGGCTCTTGGAGCAGGTGCTGCTGGTATTGGAGCCGCTGAGCCTCCAGCGCTTGTTTGAGGATCACTTCCAGGGTCAGCTGCATTCCTTGGCTGCACATCCCATTGCTAACTTCCCTTTGCAGCGCTTACTGAATGCAGTCACTACTCCTGAGCTGGTGAGCTGGAAACCTAGCCTGTGTCTCCTTCAGCTGTTCTTACTCATTTACCCTTATTATTATTTGAGACAGGGTCTCACTGTGTAGCCCCAGCTGGTCTCAGATTCCCAGAGATCTGCCTGCCTCTGTCTCTGACAATTTGCCCTTGTGACATTATTCCTTGGGGTTTTCTAGACTAAGGATGACAGTACACTCCTCCCAGAGATTTGTTTTAGCTTTTCAGGTATGACTACCTGAAAGCAGAGACTAGCTTAATTCAGGTGTGCAGCTAGAAGTTCTGCGGCCCCCCAGACTCTGGGTACTTATCTCTAGATCCACATGCGCACTGAAGCCCTTGCCATAGCTTCTCTTTTTCCTTGTTGCTTACCACCAAGGAACACTATGTATGTGGTCTCTTGGGCTAGAACTTGGAATGAAAGGGTGGGTTTAATTCTAGACCTGCCTTGTCCTTGGGTCACCCTTACTCCTACAGAAGGGACATTTTCAGTCTTCCCCATGTGTACGGTGGCACCTCTGTGACTGTCCTCGAATTCTGGGTTTTACCCAGCCTGATCAAAATCTTGACATTGGCAGTGCTTTTTGTGTTTTATCTAGTACTTTTATTTGTTTAATAGGAAGATTTTTCTGAGTATCTGTATAGCTAAGTAACAGAATGTCAAAGATTCTTCAACCCATGTTTCCTCTTAGCTGTCCCTTGTGTTTGAGGAGCTGAGCCCTGCCCTGGAAGCTGTACTGGCCCAGGGCCACACAGGGGTAGTTGTTGCTCTGGTGGAGGCCTGCCGTAGAGTTGGAACTCACCAAGCCCAGGTCTTGCAGCTGTTGCTGGAGGTGAGTGGGTGTTACCGTCCATACCTTTGCTCTCATTCTACTAGTTAGGACTTATCTAATCTGGACCCAAGAGGTTTCATGTCAAGGGAGTTCACCGATACAGGATAGACAAAGTTCAAGAACAGTCCTGGAATGAAATCTATCCTCCATAATTGTGATAACTGTGAGGGATAAGTGTGCATTAGTCCCTATTATGTGTAGGGCTGAGAGATACATCAAAGCAGATGAGATCTGCCCTCGAGGAGTTTCCTTTCTTGTTGAGTTAGACCTCACTTTTCCTGAACAGTTCTCTGTCTAGAACATCAGAGTTAGGGATGGAATAGTCTCAGACTCATCATGTTTTGTCTTCCCCTGTAGGCATTCCATTGTGCAGAGCCCTCATCCCGGCAGGTGGCCTGTGTGCCTCTCTTTGCCACTTTGATGGCTTATGAGGTATACTATGAATTAACCGAGGAGGAGGGGGCAGTGCCTGCAGAACACCAGGTGAGGTAGGGAAGGGGCCAAGCCAGGACTGTTTGGGGGCCAGGCCTCTTAGGGAAGCCCCTTGGATTAGGATGGTGAGATTTCTGACCTCATTGAAGTGAAGGTGACAGTACCCTAGGGATGAGTCACCCACCTGGTCTGATGGGTGCTTCCTAATTTCCTATTTCTGTGTTCCTAGGTAGAAATGGCCATAGCCAGAACTCTGGGGGAAGTTACAGTACTTGGGTCTCTACTGCTCCAGCATCTGCTGTACTTCTCCAACCCCGGTATTGTACTTCGAAGTCTGAGTGCCTTGACAGGACCACAACTTTTGGCTCTAGCCCAAAGCCCTGCTGGCTCTCATGTGCTCGATGCCATTCTGAGTAGCCCATCTGTGACACATAAGCAGCGTCGTCGTGTGCTGAAGACCCTAAAGGTTAGACTTCTGTTCCAGTCACCTCTGTCTTTGCTCTAGAGAAAATGAGCTGCTTCCAGGATGCTACCTCAGAGCTGAAGGCGGGTTACATAGTTCCTACACTATTTTAAGCCTCTGAAGTCTTCTGAAACTTTATTCCTCCACTCCCAAAGCACTTTCGCGTACTTCATTAGGGGGACTTGACTTTGCCTCTTTCACTGCAGGGACAGTATGTGGCTCTCGCCTGTAGCCGCCATGGTAGCCGTGTACTAGATGCCATCTGGAGTGGAGCAGCTTTGGGGGCCCGGAAGGAAATTGCTGCTGAGTTGGGTGAGTACTGTGCCTCTGGATGATATTTCCAAACTTGCCCTTCTTCTATGCCTGATAGCTGGCTGGCTGAGCACATTTCAAAAGGGCAGTCTTGATTCTGGTCTGTTTTGTTTTTGTTTTACAATTTATTTTTACTTTATGTGTCTAGTGTTTTTCCTGTATGAATGTATGTGCACCATGTTTGTGCCTGGTGCCTGCAGAAGTCAGAAGGTGGTATCATTCCCTGTAACTGGAGTTATGGATGATTGTTATCCACCATGTGGGTGCTGGGATCTGAACTCAGGTCCTGTGCAAGAGCAACCAGTGCTCTTAACCGCTGAGTCATTGCTCCAGGTTCTTAGCAGTCTACTTTTGCCTTCCCCTCTGCTGACTCGTTATGCAGTACTCTATCCTACCCTGCTTCCTGGCGACCGTGAGGTGTTTGCTCTTTCCCAGTTTCAGGTCTGAGGGTAGGGGAAAATGGAGGAGGCTTCATCCCAGGTAGAATCTTGTTTTTGAGTATGGGCAGTACTAAACATGAGTCATGCCTTTTGCAGGGGAACAGAACCAGGAGCTGATAAAAGACCCTTTTGGCCACCATGTGGCTCGAAATGTGGCCCTGACTACCTTCTTGAAGCGGCGAGAGGCTTGGGAACAGCAGCAGAGTGCAGTGGCCAAGCGGAGGCGGGTGTTGAACTCAATACTTGAAGACTGAGGCTTTGGGACCTGGAAATGGGTGCTGATGGAGAGGATAAAAGGAAGTACTTAATCTCATTCCTTCCTGGTTTAAATTGGAGTCAAAAATCTTATTGGAACCAGGTATAGAAACATATATCCTTGTAATCCTAGCACTCAGCAGGCTAGGAGTATCAAGAATTCAAAGCCAACCTGGGCTACAGAGCCAGATCCTATTCATCTCTCTGCCCTGAGCATATACCTATCCCAAGAATATACTGATAAAATTTTTTATATTTTTATTGGAAATATTTTTATTTTTTAGAGGAAAGGTATCTCAAGGTAAAGTCAGAGTGCTGACATTGATATGCAGGGATCTTAGGGATGGGAATTGGTAAGGACCTAGATGTAGCTGCAGCCAAGATGGGATCAGGTTGCTTGGGGGACAAGCTTGTCTTACAGCAGAAGGCAGGAAATTGTAGGTTGGATAGGCAACATTCTTCAGGAAAAGGCATTGGCTAGAGGAGGAAGGCAAGATGCTGATAGGTCTGTCATGATGGGGTTAGAAGAACGTGTGGAAATCAGCTGAGTTATCTAGGCTGCAGGTCCTTAGACCTGATGATGTCCTCAGTGGTCCTCACACTCATGGAACCAGACTTGGGACAGAAGCTCAAAGCACTTTCTCCTTAGGAATGGAGGTGACGTTGTCGCTGCCACTGCTCAGCTCCCTCTACTATGTGGCGAAGGGTAGATGCAATTCCCAGCAACATATGACCCATGCCTTGCAGGACTGAGGAAGTCCAACGAAGGAGCTCCCTGCAGGGCAGAGAGAAGAGGAATTAAATGATTAAGGGATCCTGAGAGAAAGCCTCAAGTTAGAAGCTAGGGGAGTTTCACAAGGGAGAGCCAATGGGATAAGTGGGGACAGGAGATGGAAGGTGGGAGGCCATCCAACTGCAGGGGATGGAATTGTATGGCATGTTGATTGCTGACCTGAGTACTTTTTTGGGTCCGACTCCTTGAAAATCACAACTCATGGAGTAGAGCCCGTAGAAGGTAGCTTTGATGTTCAGGCTGCCGAAGAGGTCTCGAGGATTTTGCTTGTACACATCAAAGGTGATGCGGGCAATGTCCTTGCTGTGCTTTGGCTTCTCCCGTCCCAGGCCATATGACAGCATCCCACTCTGTAGGGTACCCCCATCATTGTAGTGGACCCTCCCTCACACCCTGACATCTACTACTGGTTCCGTCTGCCTGGTCAGACCCCTCCCACACCCTGTCTGTCTAATATTCGATGACTGTAACAACTCTCCCACTGCCTCTGCCCAAGAGCAGTGTTGGGCTACTCTTGGGAGAGCTAGAAAAGAATGATGATATAAGCAGCCCCGGGGTGGGTCTCTCACCCTGGGGCTCCAGCTCTGCCCCAGCTCCAGCACCATCAAGCATGTGTCATCCTCCAGCAGCTGGAAGAAGTCCTCATTCTCCACGGCAGTTCCATCCTCCTCCAGCACCACTGTCAGCACTCCACTTAGCAGCAGTGTCTCCAGGGCCTGCTCCAAGGCCAGAAACAGGAGGGGAGGGGAGGGGAGGGGAGGGCTTATCCCATGCCCCTCCCCGCTCTAGTTGGCCCAGGTCAGCTATCTTCCCTAGAAGAGGGTTGATGTCAGCTCTGCTTCCTCATGCTTTGCCACCCCTCCCCCCTTTTAAATATTTTTATTTTATGTGTATGAGAGTATTGCCTGTATGTATGTAAGTGCACCCCTGTCATGCAAAGCCTGTGGAGGTCAGAAGAGAGTGTCAGATTCCCTGGGACTGTAGGTACAGATGGTTGTTAGCCACTATGTGGGTGTTGGAAACCAAACCTGGGTCCTCTGCAAAAGCAGCCAGTGCTCTTAACCGCTGAGCCATTTCTCCAGCTCCCTGTTTTTTGTGGTTTGTTTTTTTGTTTTTCAGACAGGGTCTCACTTTAGACTATGCTGATCCCAAATCTGAAGCAATTCTCGGGTAGCCTTTTGGGCGCTGGGGTCAGAGATGAGAGCCAACCACTTCACCCACTCCTTTGCCCGGCTTTCTAAAGGGGGCAGCTCTCGTTCTTGAGGGACCTTCCCTAGAAGCAGATCTTTTCTTTTTGCTCTTACCATGCCATTTTCACCCTCCCTGTTCCCCTCTAAGCCACTTATTAGTTTTGAATAATAAATTTACAATAGCCAGGTTGTAGTGGCACATCCCTGTGGTCCTAGCTACTCAGGAAGCTGAGGCAGGAAGACTGCCTGAGGCCAGAAGTTCAACACCAGACTAGGTAACTTTGGACCCTGACTCCAAAAGTAAAATAAAAACAAAACATCCAGGCTGTCTAGAAATCTATTATGTTGATAATGTCCCACTTCACTTGTCCACACCTTTACTGTTCTCCACAACTGTTCTCAGTATTAGTGATTTTTTAAAAAATCTTTTATTATTTTACACATATGAGTATATTGCTTGCATGTATGTAAGTGCACCTGCATTGTGCAATACCCACAGAGGTCAGAAGAGGGTGTCGGATTCCCTGGAACTGAAGTTATGGATGGTTGTTAGCCACCATGTGAATGCTGGGAATTGGACCCAAGTCCTCTGCCAGAGGACTGAACCATCTCTCCAGCCCCAGTATTAGCAATGTTTGATGTTTCTGAAGTTTTACTGTGTGTCAGGTGAAAACGTGAGGATTTATTTATTTTTGGTCTTTTTGAAACAGGATCTTCCAGTAGCCCCAGCTGGCCTGGGACTCACTTTGTAGACCAGGCTAGCCTTGAACTCACAGAGATCCGCTTGTCTCTGTCTCCTGAGTGCTGGGTAAAGGCGTGTGCCACCACGCCTGGCAAATGTGAGGATTTAAAGGAATGTTGGGGTTGAAATGTTGAGGTTGGGAATGCTAGGGATGAGAAAGGGGCTTGCAGCTGGGTATGAGGGAAGGGCAGGACTCTAGGAAAAAGCAAAAGTAGTCTTGGCAAGGGCTCAGACTGGCTCCCACATACACAAGTCTTGGCAAGGGCTCAGACTGGCTCCCACATACACAAGACTGTTGCTCTTTCACATATTCTAATGCATCTGATTCCAACAGACTAAATTGTTAAGGATGGCTTCTAAAAAAGCCTCCACCCCTTCCAGGAAGGAGACCACCCCAGATAACCCCATAGATGAGGAGCTAGGTAGGAGGTAACAAAGGTCAAGTGCAGCTGAATTTTAGTAGTCATGTCCCCTAACAGACTGTCCCTTTGTGGCTTAAACATCCTTGAAGCTGCAATTAGGTTGTTCCCACCATATCACAAACTAAGGCACCAGGGCATTCGTCCACATGTACTCTAACAAAGGGTTTGATTCCTCAAAGACCTGACCTCATATCACTTGCATTGTGGTTTGACACCTCTGTTTGTGCAGACCGTGGGAGAAAGTACTCTAAAAGGAAGATCCTGGCCATGTTTGGGATAAAAGTCAGCTAACCTCGTGAATATCCCACCCATTTCACATAAAAACTTAAGTCCATAGCACGGAACCCAGTAGGTTGTTCCCTACCTTGGCACATCCTGTTCCAATCTCAGGTGCTCTGCTTAGGGTACTAACTCAACTGCTACTTTGCTAATAAACATGTGCTTCAAGCTGTCATCTCTTGGCAGAATCCATTTCTTCACAAAGAGCTGAGACACCGCCTCTCCACCCCAACATCTACCACAGCATCTATGAAGACTACATACATTTTATTCCCCTTAGTAACCCTAAAGGATGGCGTATCCTCTGTATAGATGAGACTGAGGGCCAGGGATGGAGCTTAGAAGTAAACTGTCTAGCATGCACCAGGACATGGTTTTGATCCCCGGCATTGAAAAAAAAATTATTAGCCAGGCTTTGTGGCATGTGCCTATAATCTCAGTACTTGGAAGGCTGAAGCAGGATTCTGAGTTCAAGGCCAGCATGGGCTAAGTTAGACCCTGTCTCAAAAAGAAGCAGGTTTTCTAAGGTTGAACAGTTGGGAAGTAGCAAAATCAGGATTGAATTTGAGTTGTCATAGAAATTGAGGGCTAGGAAGTCGGTGATAGAGTGCTTGCCGATAGCTTTGATTACCCACACTGCAAGAAAACACAGATCGCCATACTGACCTCTGAATCTATTTCTCCAGCCTTTACTGCTTTCCCTATTTACTGCCAAAGAAAGCCCACTACTTGGAAAATAAGTTTACCCAAATATTACAGCTGTCACAGGGCTTACCCCCGTTTTTAGCCCTTAGGGGTGGCAGCCTTGCAAACTCAGTGCTCTCTGCTCTACCACCCCACTATCCTTCAGTCTCTTGTCCACCTTGCTCTAGGAACCCAGGAATTTGGCTCACTCACCTTATCTAGCAGTTCCTGGCGGGTGGCAGCTGTTAGACCCTTCCGGATGGTCCGCTTATGATTGCAGACACGGAAAGGTCGCTGAGGTGGTGGAGCTGAGTTCCAGACCCTACGGCCAAACTCGGAGCTCATAGTGGACACTGACCTGGTAGTTGGGAAGACAAGGAGGGCTTTGGTAAATGTAGTAGATATGATAGGGTGGGATGGCTGGAGGGTTAGGAAGGTTTACAGATCAGCCAAAGGAGAGACCATGGAGTGGAGGTGGAAACGCAGTTAAGAATTGGAGAAACCTATGGTCAGGAATGGAGGTGAGTCTTCCTGGGGTTGAATGATTTTTGCCTCGCTTGCCTACAACCCCAGCATTGAAGTAAAGAAGAGGGCTAGGAATCACCTCAGTAGGCCATTGGGCTTCAAGGCCGACAGGTACTCCATGGTGGAGAGGTGGAATAGAATTGCCTCCCTGTGCCTTCAGGGCTGAGTGCCCCTCTGCTGTGTGAGGCTTGTCTTATTTTCTGCTACAAAGCTGGGATCTAAGCCCTGGTGAAGAGGGAGATGAGTCAAGCCTGGACTCTGGCCCTCCTGCCTGGCCAGTGAGACAGACAAAGTCCAAGGGGCGGGAAGGAGGAGGAGCCTATGTGGGCTGGTGGGCGTAGCCAAAGCTCCAGAAGCTTGTTTGTGAGTCTGGTGAGGAGCTGTAAGGATAAACAGGAACTACGTAAACGAAGTATGATCACTCATTTTTCCTTTTTTTTTTTTTTTTTTGAGACAGTCTCACTATGTAGTCCAGGCTGGCTACCTTGAACTTATGATTCTTCCTGTCTCAGCTTCCTGAGTTCTGGGATTACATGCCTGTGGCACCGTGCATTTTATACCTGTGGAGAGAAATGTTAGGAGCAGTTTCTGGCTCCCAGTCTCAGAGATGCTTCATTGTATGTAAACCTCGGTGTTTGTGCTGCCACCTGCTGGAAAGTTACAAACCGCAGCTTTGGGGAAAGGCTGGGCCAACCTCAAGGAAGCTGGCTCAGCGTGGGAAAAAATGGGAGCTGGGATCCTTTCTGGGTCCCTGGCCTTCCTGCTTTGCTTCTCCTTCCTCATTGGTTGGAGGATTGACTTAATATTTTTATGGCTTCATTTTCCAAACTGCCTGCTTCAGTCAGGGACCAAGAGTAGTCATTCACCTCTTCCCATTTTCGAATTAATGGACATGAAGAAATGACTCCAGCTGTCAGTTGTGCCCAGATGTTTGGAGGAGTGTGAGGACTTCAGCTCTGTGTGTGTGTGTGTGTGTGTGTGTGTACATTAGTGCACATGTGTGTAGTAGAGGCCAGAAGACAACCTTGGGTGGTGTTCCTTATTTTTTGAGACAGAATCTCACATCTCTCACATGCCTGGAGCTCACCAAGTAGGTGGGGCTGGCTGGCCAGTGAGCCCCAGGGATCTACATCCCAGTGCTGGGGTTACAAGCCAAGTTTTCAAAAATTATTTATCTATTTTTATACGGAGTGTTTTGCCTGCATCTAAGTGCACCACATGCATGTAATACCAGTGGGGGCCACAAGAAGGCACTGGATCCCTCTGAAACTAGAGTCACAGGCAGCTGTCATGTGGGTGCTGGGAACTGAACCTGAGTCCTCTGCAAGAGCAGCCAGTGTTCCTAACCACTGAGCCATCTCTCCAGTCATAAATATATAAATATATATATATATTTAACATGGGTTCTGGCGATTGATTTAAGTTCTCATACTTGTATGGCAAGCACTTTCCTGACTGAGCTGTTTCCCCAACCCCAGACTTTAGTTTGATGCCTCCTGTTTCTTCTCTGATTTTAGCTGCAGCTGTGATGGACAATTGCATAGAAACTGAGACTTAATGTTAGTAAACCCCTCAAGTGAGCACAGCCCCGTTTTCCTGCCTGGGAATCTTATAGGATTGCCCAGTTTCCCCACTTTCTTTCTGTTTTCCAAGAAACACAAAGTACCTTGACAGCCCCTGACTCAGCCAGCTGCATTTCTCTTGCAAGCTTGAGCCCCAGCCAGGGCCTCAAACATTTTCAGGCACTGATAAAGCTATTTAAGTTCTCCCCCCAAACACTGAGATGAATCAACACTAGTTTAAACCCTTACATAAACCCCGTACTTGGATCCTCTTGTGACAGAGGGTTGGATGGACATCCTTTTCCCTATCAAGATGATACACTCAGTAAATAATCTGGACTGATTGCTGTGTCAGTCTTTTGTATTTTTGAGACAATTCTTGCCTGGCTTGATACTTGCTAGGTAGTGTGGGCTGGCTTTTAACTCAAAGCAATCCTCTTACCTCAGCTTCCTAAGTGCTGAGAGTACAGATGTGTGCTGCCATGCCTGGCTACTGCCTCTTTCTTTGGAATTCCAATCAGTCCCATCTTGGGATGGTTTGGAGCACATCCTTGTGGGAACTCGTCTACCACTGTTATTGGGGGTAACTTTAGCTGTGAGTTTGACCCAAGTGATTGGAAGAGTCAGAAGCTCACTCAAGGGCAAATATAGGGGCATTAATGTCTGTAGGACAATCCTCCAACAATGGGAACACCCCACCCAGCCTTCTGTCTTGGCCATTCTGTGTACTTCCCAGAGGCTCTCATGATTACTGAAGGAGGGCAATGACATGCACTGAATGGCTCTCCTCTTCCCTGTCTTAACCTTCTCCCTTGCTCCTGTGTGTCTTGATTCCCCAACAGGGTCATAAACCCCTTAATATAGATACATAACCTGTTCCCTCCAAAGTGAATACTGTGTCTTACCCTGAAAAGTTGTCATTGACAACCCAGTAATAGCTGGACGGTGGAGGGACTCAGGCAGGCCAAAAATGAGATGGACTGAATTAAAGGAAGCTTGGCAGGGGCAGGGGGCTGAACAGAAGCAGAGAGCAGCTGGGAGAATGAGTTGTCTGGGTCACCTTCTCTCCTGACTGTGGGCCAAGGACGCTGGAGAACATAAACACTGCAGAAAGTGGACTGGAAGGACTGGGGCCAGAGCTGTGGAAGATGAAAGCAGGCCCAGGGAGGCCTCTGGCAGACAACTCCTACTCTCCTGCATGGTCTGAGCACTTTATCTGTCCCCCTTCAGCTTTATCCTGTTTCCTAGGGAGGCTGGTTCCCACATGTCTGGGCCTGTTAGTGATGGGAAGGAGTAGGATGAAGGAGGGGCCCCAGGAAAGGCCCAGCATGAGCACCATCTTGTCCCTCATTCTTACCTCATCCTCTGCAAATGTGACAGGCACCTGAACAGGGCTGCTTCACCTGTCAGCCTCTACAAACCTCTTACAGGTCCCCAACTCTTCCTGCTCCCAGCTGGGTAAGTGGAACTGTTCATTCCCTTGTGTTTGCCACACCTGGCTCTGACCTGGGGTATAAAGAATGGGGCTGGATAAAGAAGGGCTCGCACCAGAGGGGCGGAAGCCGAGAGAGTGGCAGTCTAGGTTGAGGACCGGGGAACACTAGTGCCACAGTAGTGCTGGGCTCTGGGAAGGTGCCATGGGAGAGGTCAGCTTGGAACAGGGGCTGGGCCTGGCTCCTGGAGAGAAGAGAGCCAGGCTGCAGAGAAGTTGGAGGCAGGGTCCCCTCTCATCTAGCATCAGAGGGAACCTGGGCCCCTGCCCTAGCCCTGAATATGCCCCGTGGCCTCTGCCAGCCCCCTGTAGGAGGATGTCGGCCTGCTACCGTCCCCCGGGCAACGAGACACTGCTGAGCTGGACCGCCTCGCGGGCCACCGGCACCGCCTTCCTGCTGCTGGCGGCGCTCCTGGGACTGCCGGGCAACGGCTTCGTGGTGTGGAGCTTGGCCGGCTGGCGGCCCACGCGGGGGCGGCCGTTGGCGGCCACACTGGTGCTGCACCTGGCCGTGGCCGACGGCGCGGTGCTTCTGCTCTCGCCGCTTTTCGTGGCCTTCCTGACCGGGCGGGCGTGGCCCCTGGGCCAGGCGGGCTGCAAGGCGGTGTACTACGTGTGCGCGCTCAGCATGTACGCCAGCGTGCTGCTCACCGGTCTGCTCAGCCTGCAGCGCTGCCTGGCTGTCACCCGCCCGTTCCTGGCACCACGGCTGCGCAGTCCGGCCCTGGCCCGCCGCCTGCTGCTGGCAGTCTGGCTGGCCGCCCTGGTGCTCGCCATCCCGGCCGCCGTCTACCGCCACCTCTGGGGGGACCGCGTGTGCCAGCTGTGCCACCCGTCGGCGGTGCACGCCGCTGCGCACCTGAGCCTGGAGACCCTGACCGCCTTCGTACTTCCCTTCGGGATGGTGCTGGGCTGCTACGGCGTGACGCTGGCGCGTCTCAGGGGTGCGCGCTGGGGCGCCGGGCGACAGGGCACGCGGGTGGGTCGACTGGTGAGCGCTATTGTGCTGGCCTTCGGCTTGCTTTGGGCCCCCTACCACGCCGTCAATCTCCTGCAGGCGGTGGCCGCGCTGGCTCCCCGCGACGGGTCCTTGGCCAGACTGGGTGGCGCGGGCCAGGCAGCGCGCGCGGGGACCACGGCATTGGCGTTCTTCAGCTCCAGCGTCAACCCAGTACTCTACGTCTTCACTGCTGGGGATTTGCTGCCCCGGGCGGGTCCCCGGTTCCTTACTCGGCTCTTCGAGGGCTCTGGAGATGCCCGAGGGGGCAGCCGGTCTAGGGAGGGTACCATGGAGCTCCGAACTACACCGAGGCTAAAAGTGGGGCAGGGCAAGGGCAATGGAGACCCTGGAGGTGGGGGCGGGATGGAGAAGGACGCCCAGGAATGGGATCCCTGACACCAAATCCTACCTCTGGGCCGGCTCTCGCCTACCACTTCCCCTGTTCCCTGGAGCTCACTGCTAGGGTACTTGGGGACCCTTTTCTGACTGCAGTTTGGATCTAACTGGGCAGGATTCCTATGCTCTTGGGGTAGGCCCATGTTTCTCCAAACTGAGGGATTGATTGTGAGGGTGCCCTTGTTAAAAATGTGTGCTTGAAATTGGCATGGATTCATGTGCCAGCATTCCCTACTTGTTGCCAGGAGCTATTATTGTGAAATACACTGGGAAGCCATTAGCTGATGGTTCACATGTGCTCCTTTTAGTGATTCATCTGCCTGTGTTATCTTATCCTGAAGCCCCCTCATCCTCAACCCGGACAGCCTAGGATTGGACAGTGCCAGCCTTCAGTGGTGTTCTGCTCTGCCCTCCTCATGCAGGCTACCCCGGGCCTATCCATAGACCCACTCCGGAGAAGTACTGGAGTTTGGATGGGGATGGGTGAGAACCCTTCTTAGCAGTATATAAAGCTGCCTGGAGGAAGAAACTGGCTCTGCACAAGAAAGTAAATCTGTGGGTGTGAAAGGAAACTGTTCCTGTTTGTCTTATGGTTGGCACAGTGAGAGAGAGGCACACAAGAATGGTGGTGTAAGCGCCTGGGAGTCCTAGACTTACCTTCCCATTTGACCCTCTGACCTCCCCCCCATTCTCAAAGCTGCCTGGTTTTGTGAAGCCCAGCAGCTGCCGTCGCTCAACCAGGGGATGTTTGGGGCTGGTGAGGAGGAGGTATGGGGAATGGCGAGGATATCTGGGAAACTGGAAGAGCTTCTCAGGAAGGTGGCACCTTTCTTTTTTCCTCTGTTGTCATCCCTCGTCCCACAGTGCTAACTATTCCTAATCCTCTCCATTACTTTCCAGCGCCCGCCTTTTGGAATCTATTACAAGATCTAAAAACAGACACTTTTGACTTGGAGGCGGTTGAATGTGAGGTTTTTAGGGGACATCATGGGTACACACAGGACCTCAACATTCCTTGTCCCAGCCCATCAGTCCTCAGCAGCTGAGATGGTTGATCATCTGAGTGGTTACTCTATCATTCCCCGCTCTGCTTCAATGATTGTTCACACTCTCCAGGCAGAGGCCAACAGAATAAAGGAAATCCAGGCTCTAGGGTCATACTAGGGACACCAAAACAGGTTGTATGACCTCTGAACCAAGGAGAAAGTGTGCTTAGAACATCTAGTCTTGGTGGAGGAGGAAAGACTCCCAAAGGAGATAGAGTGGGGAGTAGTTTGAGAGAAAATGTAACAATAACCCAGCTGTCTTTCTGAAAAGATGACCCTGGAGCTCATCGGAATCGGAAGCTTCTATCCTCAAACACAGGCTTCTTCCTGTCCTGGTGCTCTGGGGTAGGGGTTCCCTAACTTCCTCTGTTATGTATTCCTCATCTTACACACCCTGTGTGGTTAGCAAGCCCTTCCTCAACTCTGTCTTCAGTTCTTGCTGTGGTTTCAGCCCGCTTTTCAACATATCCTTTGTTTGACAGTTACTGGGTCAACTCTACTCTGGCTTTTCTCAACACAGAACAAGTGGAGGCACTAGAAAGCATAACGGACCTCAATGGCCACCGTTACATCTGTCATCTTTCCTGACAAGTGACAGGGTTGAAAGGTAACAAAAAGGCTCCCAGCAGATTGAAGGGTGGTATTCTTAGCGTCCATGGCAGACTTCAAAGAGAAGAGACAGCCTTCCTCTCACTCAGGGAAGGGGAAGGGGGACACTCTGGAGGCAGTTTCTCTTTTCACATTCTCGGATCCTCTCAGGAAGGCTGGAGTGAAGCATCACTGCTCCTGTGCTATCACTTCTGCTCTTCGCGCTCAGCCCAGCCTAGCTTAACCTCTCCCTTCTCTGCCTGTCAAAGTTGAAACTGGACCATGTAAGTCTAAAAGGACGTAGGAACGAAGTGGTGCCAATCTTCCTTGCCTAGCACCCAGTTCTTAAGTCCGTCAAGGCCACTACATGGGCAAGTAGATGGAGGAAGGGGAAGAGATCGACATTTGGTGACATCAAGGTGATCATTTAGACTTTGGCTTTTCCCAAAAAGAATGGAGAGTGGGTTGATCTGGAACAGAACTAATCCCCCTCATGTGCAGGGAGAGATGGGAGGTGCTGGAGATGGCCCTCTTCCAGCAACCAGGATCCCTGCCACCCTCTCTGACAGAATCTCACATAGCCCAGGGTGGCCTTGAGGCCAGCATGCTCATCCAACATGATGTTACCTAACTCACAACAGACCTAATCCATAACCAGACACAGAACATAGACCTTCAAGCTACATTTCCCATAAATCTAAAAATCTACATTATGTATACAAATATTTTAATGTGAAATACAAAGAAAAGTTCTTTTTTCTGAAACTAGAAGTCTCAGTCTGAGCCTGTTTCATCTCTCCCGTGTTCTTACTTTTCCTATGATTCAATCCATCACTTTGTTCAATTCTCCAGTCTAGACCTGCATTTTGAGACCACACCCTAGCCAACTCACTCTTGGTACCCCTCTTTCCTAACTCGTTGTCCTTTCCTGGGCTCTTCTCATCTGGCCCCATGTCTCAGGAGTCCCCTTCTGGGCTTCTCTGGAACACAAAGACTGTCCCCCCTCCTAGTGAAGGAGGGTGTGGGGTTTTTCAGCCCCACCCTCAGGAAGATGAATCTTCCCCCTCTGCTCCGTGGTACTTCCTCTCTGGCTGATTTAGCTGACAGACCTAGAACTGGAACCAGGGAGAGCCCTACCACTGTGACAGGTTTGGCTACACTGCTTTGCCCTGACTGTGGACTTACAATTGGCCTCTAATCAGTATCTGGAAAAACTGGTAAGTAAGTGTCTTAGTAATGGGGATGGTAGTTGGAGGGGGATGGGGCAGGTGTAGTCAGGAGAGATGGTGAAAAAAGGAATCTTCAAAGAAAGCCTGACCACTGTAAAAGAGATTTGTCCTCATGGCCTGTCCATTAACACCCCCTTTATCTCAGTTATTCCTGGTGCACCCTGGTCATCTCTACAGAGAGTGGGTAGGTGACTTCCGAAAGCCGAAGGTGCCAAGCAAATAAAGGTCTGTTGGGAGACAGAGCAGCTAGGTGTAGCATTGGTGAGCAGTCTCCCAGGCTGGTTCTGGGTTTCAGGGGCCCTTAAGGGAAAGAGGTTAAAAATCTCTGGAAATATTGCTGTTGCTGTATATTTTGCAACTGGATCTGTGAGGATGAGGGGCCCCACAGCCTAGTTGGGAAACTAGTCTTTCTAATCAACCATATCCCCCCAAGACAGTGCAGTTGGCAGTAATGGGGCAGTCTATTTTGGAGGTGTCTCTGATGCTTCTGATTTTGGAGACAGACCAGAGTATTCATGCTATTGTGTCTGGGTGTCAGGAATCCTTTGGCTTTCTACTCTCATGGGTGTGTTGGCTCTCACTCTCCAGGTCCTTTCCATGGCTACCAACACTACATCTCCTGCAGCATCTTCCTCTGCCGGTAGCATGTCCACGATATCTGTGCTGTCTGTTGTCCTACTGTCCGTGGCACTGGCTGTGGGGCTTCCTGGCAATAGCTTTGTGGTGTGGAGCATCGTGAAAAAGATGCAGAAACGCTCTGTCACGGCGCTGCTGGTGCTGAACCTGGCCCTGGCTGACTTGGCTGTATTGCTCACTGCTCCCTTTTTCCTACACTTCCTAGCTCAAGGCTCCTGGAGTTTTAAAGTGACTGGCTGCCGCATGTGTCACTATGTCTGTGGTGTCAGCATGTATGCCAGTGTCCTGCTGATCACAGTCATGAGTCTGGACCGCTCACTGGCAGTAGCCCGCCCCTTTTTGTCCCAGAAGGTGCGCACCAAGGCGATTGCCCGGTGGGTGCTGGTGGGCATCTGGGTGGTGTCTTTTCTGCTGGCCACACCGGTCCTCTTGTACCGCACAGTAAGTCTGCTACCGAACAAGACGACTCTGGTCTGCTATTCCAAGTACCCCAGTGAAGGGCACAGGGCCTTCCACCTGCTCTTCGAAGCCATCACGGGCTTCCTGCTGCCCTTCCTGGCGGTGGTGGCCAGCTACTCTGACATCGGGCGCAGGCTGCAGGCTCGGCGCTTCCGCCGCAGTCGCCGCACCGGCCGCCTCGTGGTGCTCATCATCCTGGCCTTCGCCGCCTTCTGGCTGCCCTACCACTTCGTGAACCTGGCGGAGGCCGGCCGAGCGCTGGCGGGCTTGGGCCAGAACGACCCTGCCGGGCAGCGGCTGAAGCTGGCCCGCTACGTGCTCATCGCGCTCGCCTTCCTGAGCAGCAGCGTGAACCCGGTGCTGTACGCATGCGCGGGCGGCGGCCTGCTGCGCTCAGCGGGCGTGGGCTTCGTAGCCAAGATGCTGGAGGCCACCGGCTCCGAGGGGTCCAGCAGCCGCCGCAGGGGCACCCTGGGCCAGACGGCTAGGGTCCCGGATGCCACTCAGGAGCCAAGTCCCACCGAGAGCATCATGACTTCCTCCAACCCTCTTGCGTGAACTGAACTGCGCCAGGCCTGGTGGAAAGACGCCCATTTTCTTACTCAGGGAATAACCCGAGCTAGCCTGACTTAATTCTATACCTGGAGGAGAAGAACAGGCATGGTGGCGATTGGGCTGGACCGGAAGACGAGGGAGGGGTGGGGCGAGTCAGGGCCGAGACAGCATGTTCTGGCCTGGCTCCTGTGGGCAGCTTTACAATTAAAACTAAAGTCTGAAATCAGGTCAGTCCTGAGTGGGGCATGTATTGTGAGGCATTGGGGTGTTTGTAGGTGTTCTGGTGGAGTGCCTCTCAGTCCTTTTTTTAAAAAAAAATTTTTTTCTTTTAGGGGCTGGAGAGATGGCTCAGGGGTTAAGAGCACCGAGTGAGTGTTCTTGCTTCTGACTCGGGTTCGAATCCCAGTACCCACATGGCCGCTAACAGTTGTCCGTAACTCCAGTCCTAGGGGATCCAACAGCTTCTTCTGACCTCCACGGGCATTGCACAACATGGATGTACATGCATGCAGGCAATACACACATACACATAAAATAAAAAAATTTTTTTAAAGTTGCTTCTAGCAACTTTAACCAAGGTAGGTTATAGTTTCTAGAGTTCTATCAGTGTTGCAAAAGACAGACAAGGTCTCTGTGACAGGGAGATAGTATAGTTAATAAAAAGATAATTTAGCAAAAGAAAAAAAAAAAAGCTTAAGTGAAAGGAATTAGGCTGGCCTAGAGTTCCCAGAATCCACAGAGTGGTTAACAACTGTCTGTAACTCCAGTTCCAGGGAATCTGACACCCTCTTCTGACCTCCGAGGACATTGCACGACACGGGTGCACTTACCTACATGCAGGCAATACACGCATACACAGTGTATGCGTGTATTGCCTGCATGTAGTCAGAAAAGGGCGTTGGATTTCCTGGAACGGGAGTTACGGATAGCTGTTAGCTGCCATGTAGGTGCTGGGAACTGAACCTGGGACCCGTGGAAGAGCAGCCAGTGTTCTTAGCTGCTAAGGCATCTCTTCAGCCCCCTTCTCAATAGGTTTTTAGTGCCCCATGACTTAGTTTTGGAAGGGACACAGGGCAGATATGGCCTCATTCCAGTGATTCTGAAATAGGTGATCTACATACAGATTTCACTTAGAAAAGCACATTATGAGTTCCTACAAGGAAGCCTGTCATCTGGACTCATGATTCCAGAGACCTTCTAAGAAAATGTGTTCTTCTGAAATGTGTCCCTGGAAGCTCACGGTAACTATCCTTAGTGTGACCCCAGCTTCCCACCAATGGTCTTCGTTCTCTCAGCAGAGCCCTGGGAGATTGCTTTCCTTCTCTCCATCTCCCAAGGAGACCTCACTAGGAACTTAGGTCATCAGATCTTATCTCCCACAATTCTGCACATCAGTACCTGCTATATCCCAGAAGCCATTCCCAGGAAACTAAGATTGCCCAGAGTGACAAGCCTATGGGTGACTGTTGTCTTAGAGACAGGGAAGGAAGATGGGCTGGGAAGAAACCATCCCACTGAGGGGTAAGGAGGCGATTCTCTTAGAGGCAATTCTTAGTTACAGTGGCACCTTCTGACATCCATAGGCTCCATAGTCATTTTATTGAGGATCTTAGCATAGAGGGGTGGGTTGGGGGTCTCGGCCTAGGGCTTAGGGAGGTCCAGTTCGTGTCAAGTCTGTGTTCAAGAAGTAGGTGCAGAGCTGCCCTTTGCCTTTGACCTTGATGATACCCCGGCTGTAGCATGTATAACCCAGGGACTGCAGGGCCCTGGCTGTCTCCTCAGTCACCTGCAATTGGAGGGGCATTAAGGGACTGTGGGTGGCTTTATCCTTGTCCCCTCCCCCATACCTCCAAGTGGGTCCCTCACTTGGATCTTGCCAAGGACTCCTGTACTCTCCATGCGGCTGGCTACATTCACTGTGTTGCCCCAGATGTCATATTGTGGCTTCTGGGCCCCAATCACTCCAGCCACTACTGGTCCATGGTTCAACCCTGACAAGGAACATCGTAGTGAGGAGCCTTGATGGGGTCGGGGAGACTTAACAGAAAGAGAGAGGATACCAAAGGGACTGGGGAGATGAAAGGGTCAGATGGTCTTAAACGAGTCTTTGGGGTTGGACGGGTGTGGGTTAGGGAAGGGAGGGGTAAGTCTCTTAGTTCCTGGACCAGCAGCTTCATGCCTCAACCAAGGAAGTGTCTGGAAAGGCTGTCTAGAGATGAGCTGGAGAACAGCTAATGAAGGACTTGTGGTTGGGTGAGGAGGCACCTCCTTGCCCTAGCAAGGTAAGAGGTCCCTCACCTACACGCAGGCGGAAGTTGTTGAATGAGTGCTTGTTGATGACATCCAGTTTAGACCCCAGGGCCACTGCAAATTCCACCATGGTGCCCAGATGGCTGCAACTTCTTTCAGCATCCTGGCAATGGGCCCCCGACCAGGATGAGCCAATAATAAGGAATAAGTACCACTTATGGACCCACCAGTAAAAGCCCACAGGAGGTAGGGAAGGGCTGCTCTACCTGTTGTGTGTCCTGTCCAGATGTGGCATTTAAGCCTGTGGCTGCCATGTAGGTACTGCCAATAGTTTTGATCTTCTCCACCCCACTGAATTTTGGCTTGGAGAGCAGCTGCAGAGAAAAGAAGCAATGTTCCCAGTCTCTCTTACCACTCACCATCCCTGCTCCAAAGAGCCTGCCCCAGGCCTTTGATGGCTAGAGGACTAAGCTGTGGGGTTGGAGATGGTGGCAGGAAGGCGCTGGCTGGCACTGAACAATGTCAGAGAGGGTAAAACTAGGGCATCAGAGGAGAAGGAGGGCTGGAGAGGTTGGGGGTAGGTTTGGCTTAGTGGCCTGGAGAACAAAGTGAAAGGAAAGACTCATGGGAAATTCTAGAGTTCAGGACATAGGGTCTTAGGAACCTTTGGAGTTAGTTGTACCTCATCAAAATCAGCAATGATCTCATTAAGCAGCCTCAGACACTCTAGTCCCTCGTGGTTGATGTTGGATTCTGAGTAGAATTCCTTAAAGTCTGGGACTGATGCAAAGAGCACACAAACACATTCGTACGACTGGTGGTAAAGGTCCTGTGGGACAGAAGGAGGGGTGAGTCTCTCAGCTCCTGGCCCAGAGCTTTATGCCTCTCCCAAGGCAGTAAATCTGGAAGGGGGTGAGCTGGGGAGTTGCTGATGAAGGACTTGGGAGTGTGGAGAGGAGGCATCATCTTGACATATTTTTGTTTTGGAATTAAAAAAAACCCGAGTTATATTTTAAAAATTCATTCATTCATTGATTGGTGTGTGTGTGTCTTCTGCAAGAGTAAGTATTCTTAACTAGTGAGCCCCCGAATTTTCTTTTATTATCTATTTATTTACTTATGTGTGTGTGTGTGTGTGTGTGTGTGTGTGTGTATGTGTATGTGTGCATGTAGGGGAGTCAGAGGACAACTTGCAAGAGTCAGTTCTCTCTTTCCGCTATGTGGGTCCTGGGGACTGGATTCAGGTTGTCAGCCTAAAGGCAAGCACCTTTATCTGCTGAGCCATTTTGCTGACCTTTGGTTTGGAGTTTTTGAGATAAGGTCTCACTGTGAAGTCTTAGCTAGCCTGGGACTTACTACATAGACCAGGCTGGTCTGAAACCTGTGTCAGTTGTTCTACCTCTGATTCACAAATGCTGGGATTACAGGTCTGCACCACCACCATTGGCTTACCACATTAAAAAAACCCAAGATCTCGCTCTATAGTCCTGACTAGTCATCTTCTTGCCACAAGTCCTTGAAAGCTGGGTTTACAGTACCGTGCCTTCTGTCCCTCTGTTTAAGATGAATTGGGAAGGAAAAGAGAAGTAGGACCAGATTCCCCAGGTATATTACTTGAAGTCAAAGATTTGGTCTCCTTGTGATTCCAGAAAACAGAGGTTTGGGTCAGGATTGTCTCACACATATATGAAGGGTCTTACTCCTCAAACTGGGATTATGGCAATGGGGATCATTTGTATATCTTACTACTGAAAGACATAAAATCAGGTAAGTCAGCTTACAAAGTCAGCAATTATCTGGAATGGAAAACAATAATAAAGCACGCGGGACAAAATAAAAATAAAGGTAAGATGGTCATGGAATCAGATCTGAGGTTGGTTCACAAAATGGATGCCATGGAATCCTTGTTAGTCCTAGAGTCTGGCTCTAGGCTCTCTAATAGCTAATGTGAAGAGAGAAACAGGATCAGTTATAAGATTTCCTGTGTCCAAAAGGGAGGAAACCAGAGACTAAACTACTTCTGATCTTGAGAGAGAGTCTAGGCAGTATGGATGCAAGTATGTGAAACAGCTCCTGAGTTGTTTCTTTCAACCTCCCCTAGTATAGGACAAGAATATTTCCCTAGCACAGAGGCCCAGGTAGTGGTGCCATGAAAAATATGGTGCAAATATATAGGTGGGTGACTTTCTGGTGGTTTGGCAATAGAGTTTTGAGTTTAGAGCAGCAGCACCCAGTAGGAATGTTTGTAGTGATACAAGCACTGAGTAGCTATGTGTGCTATAGAAATATAGAATGAGAACTGGATTAAAATTATATTATTATGTGTGTGTGTGTGTGTGTGTGTGTGTGTGTGTGTGTGTACCACAGCCTGTGTGGAGGGGTCAGCAGACAACTTTCAGCTGATGATTCTTTCCTTCCACCTTTACATGGGTTCCAAGGATTGACTGAACTCAGGTTGCCAGGCTATACCTACTGAGTCAACTCTGCCAGCCCCAGAGAACTGAAGTTTTTTTTTTTTTTTTTTTTTCGGTCTTTTTGAGACAGGGTCTCTCTGTAGCTCCAGGTGGCCTGGAACTCGCTATATAGACCAGGCTGGCCTTGAACTCACAGAGATCTGCCTGCCTCTGCATCCCAAGTGCTGGGATTAAAGGCATGCTCCACCACGCTTGGCAGTAGAGAACTGAAATTTTATTTTAATTAACTGAAACTTAAATTTGAAAGGCTATATATGGTTAATGGCTATGCAGGGCTAGAAAAATGGGTGGACTATTCTTCAGACAAGTCCCATCGACACTTGACTAAGCTTCTGAAAGGTCATGAATTGGAAAAGGTGTTCCTTTTTTTGCCCATCATGGGCCACCCTCTTGGCAGGCAAGCTCTACCACTGAGACCTATTTCTGAGTCCGAAAGACGTTCCTTCTAAATGAGAACTTGACATGCTGATTCTGTGGTCACCAAAGACAGAGCTCAAGATTCTGATCTGATGGGGTCAGGGGTTTGGGTGACTACCTCATCACTATTTGGGGACCCCAGAAAGGATGGGCCAAGGTCTAAGGCTTTTATCCAAACTCATTCTCAAACTCATGACATCAGAGACTCTGGAGTGAGGGGTTGGAAGTCACCTCGTTGCGCCGGTTCTGGCCAATGAACTGGGGGGCCACGTGGGCAGGGAGCACATTCTCCAGGAGTAGCCGGGTCAAGTTCTCCATCGTCTCTGTCTCCTCACGCTCCTGCCTCAGTTTCTTCTTCCACAGGAAGTCCAAGCGGCAGTAATACTCATTCTGGGGAGACAGTGCAGGGGAAGCTCAGCTCCACAGGGCCCGACCTCTGCATGCCCAGCGTAGCGATAAAGCTTCAAGTACAACTGTTCTGGAGGAGAGACAACTCTTGAAACCAGTTTCAAATTTGAGCGCATAGGACTGGCAGCATGTTTTTTCCCCTTAACTTTGTCTTTTCTCAGATTTGGGGACAAGAGAGAGGGGTGGTGGTGAGGGCTCGAGGGATTTAGAGAGAGATGACGCAAGAAAGGGAGTGGAGATGTTCTTTAGACATTCGCTCAACCCTAAGATGAGATAAGTAAGTTACCAACATGGGGGTCCCAGCCTCACCCTGCACCAGGATGCCCTGCGAGACTGAGTTTGGGGACTTACCTGCCGAGCCAGGACAAGGAGGGTGAAGAAGAAGATGAAAAAGGACATCGCTCCCATCAGTTTGGGCTCCTTCAGCACTCCTGGCCTGAGGAGACCAGAATTAGGACTGTCCCTTTCTCTGCCCCTTCCTGATGGCCTCCTCCCTGCTCCTGGTACCCACGTAGCCCTCAGCACCCGCCCCCTTTTGTCTTGTGGGTGGCTCAGGTCAGTGAGGCAAGGACAGCTCTGCTGGGTCCTCTTTGACTCCCGCCCCGAGGGCCTGAGCAGTGTGTCCTGTGGCTGTACATACCTGGAGTTCAAAGGGCCTTGATAAAGGCAGGCGATGAGGCAATCAGACAGCCAGGCGTGGGAGTGCAGGAAGAGGGAACAAGATGCTGCCAGCCACAGCAGGAGCAGCAACAGCTTCAGTTCGAAGCTCATGTGCAGAAAGAGGGAGCAGGAGAGGAAACCCAGCACACAACAGTGCATGGAGTACTGTGGGGCCAGGCAAGGTGGTCAGGAGTGGGTGCATCCCCAGGGAGCAGTGGGAAAATCCCCAGGGCTCCTCTCATGTCCTCCCAGGCCCAGGACTTATGTGGGGAAGAGGGGACATATGTCTTCCATGCAAATAGACATGTCTCTTGGAGTGTTCTTCAGTTCATGAGTTGGGGAGTAGTGAGGAAGGGTGTGGGGAAGGGGATCCAGAGCTATACAGCAACACTTACTGGGATGCTGATGAGAGGCAGGGATCCAGGAAGCTCCCAGGAGTGATTGAAAGCCATGGAAGAAACATTGGAAACCAGGAAGAGGCAGTCTGATGACACCGGTAGGAAGAGCTGCGAAAGGAAATGAGTGAGGGGCGGGGAGCTCCTTGGACACGGGGAGAGCTTTGGCTGAGTTTTACCTGGGCTGGAGATGAGTTAGGGCCAGGTTCCTACAAAGGGGTATATCCTGCTACTTCTGATTGGTAAGCGAGCCTCAGCTGGGCCCTCACTGGTAGGAGGGATCATGGGTAGTGTTATGAGCACTAGTCTGTCATCAAACCAGTGTCAGCTCTTGCCAGCCATTTAACCACTCTGGGCCATAGCTTCCTCATTTGTAAACTGGCTGGGGGATGATTCTTAGGTGCCTTCCAATGACAGAATTCTAGGGATCGTCGTAAATTCTGTAAAAATCAGCCAAGTAAGCTAAGAATAGTATCTGCCTACATAGGAAAAAGATAGGAAGGACATCCATCAGAGTGCTACCAATTATTATGCCCAGAAGGTAGGGAGCGGGCAGCTGCATTTCTTTCTCTTTACACTCTCTACGCACTGTTTTGTACATTTCCAGTATCCTTTGGTCTTAGCCCAGATGTCTTTCCAGTTCCAAGGATCCTCTTTCATACCCTGGCAGGTCCAGCATGCCCTGACAGTAGTGGGTGGGGCCCCCTTTGTCCTCACCAGGCTGGCAGTGGCCATGGTGAAGACCAGGAGGATGGTGGCAGTGCCCAGGGCCACTCGAAGTCCTGGCCTTGTGGCCACCAGGCCAGACAGTGCAGGCAGCCAGTGTAGCATCTTGGGACCTTTCCGCACACACTTCTGTGAAGGGAGAACCGGTGTCTTAGCTGCAGACCTAAGGCTCCTTCTTCAGACTAGGTCATGACCAGGGCTCAGCTTGTCACTTCCCCTCTCCCCAGATCTCTTTACCATCAGGTGCTCTGAGAAGCAGACGATGAGGAGGAGAAGGAAGAGGAGGAACGTGATGCTGTAGGTGATGGCCAGAGCTGGGGGCCTGAGAGAAGACAAGAGGGGGTCTTTGAAGGGCCAGAAGGAGTTCTGTTTTGAGAGGCTGTGCTATCTGATTGGGGTTTGGGTAGCAGGTGGGTAGTCTTGAGGCTCCAGCTTAGCTGCTGATGGGGTCTAGCATAAAACATAAATGCTCTGATGTTCTGGAAACTGAACAGTCTAGGGCAGTGTTTGGGTGGAACAGGAACAGATAAGGTGGAGATAACATTGAAGAGGGCAGAGGGGTCACAAGAATGGCTAAGGCTGAGTCAGATCAATCTCTAGGCTGAAGCTCTTTAACCCTCTGGATGTTCAGCAACACTCTTCCTAGCAAGGGCCTAGGATAGAGGACCCACATTGTGACTCACTCATTTACTATGAGACTTGGGCTTTTCAATGGGAACACAGGACCTCTTGAAAACTAGGCAGGCTCTCTACCACTGAGCTATAACCCCCGCCCCAGGATGTGCAATATTAAGATGAGGGCTGTGATTATCATTGGTTCCCCAGAGCATGTTGTTTCCTCTGTGGCTAAGAGCCTAAAGCTCAGGGGAAGTAGCCAAAGGAAGCAAGGGTGGGTCAGGGGTCAGGAAGGGCAAAGGATCCTCACAGGAGAGCCAGGGCCTCCCTCGTCTAGTGTTCTCTCACCTGTTTGTCACCAGCATTTGGATAGTGAAGTTGGACAGAAAAACCAGGAAGGTGCAGGCTGCATAGTACTTGAAGGCAGGGAGTGCAGAGAGCCGATACTGGAGGCAAAGGGGGAGATGGAGACAAAGTATTGGTGCTGATCATTGCTTGAAGGTATCAATCTCAGCAAGTCTCACTTCCCCCCACCAGGTCACTTCTCTGTAGGCCCCACGAATTATCAAGGAGCACCTGCTATTCCTTTCACCACCACCTAATAACTCAATCTACAGATGACCTTTTTTTTTTGAGACAGGGTGTCAAGTAGCCAAGGCTGGCTTGAAACTCATTATGTATCTCCAGACCTTGAACTCTTGATCCTCCCGCTTCCACCTCCCAAGTGCTAGAATTACAGGGTATGCACCACCACGCATAGCACGAGTTTCCTTTCTCAGAGAGGCAGAAGTCCCTCATTCCAGGTGAAAAACTAAGCAGACTTGAAGGAGAGAGGTGGGGATACATATCTTAATGCTTGCCAGGGACAATGGCCTAAGCTTGGGAAATCTTTTGTTGCTCCTCTATCTAGCCCACCTGTTTCTCCATCTCCTTCTCTCTGAAGTACAGTGTCAGTAGGTTGAAGTCCTTTGACTGCTTCCATTGTCTGGGTGAATCAGGAGGTGGTGAGTACCAGAGAGGATGGGGCAGGACAGAGCAGGGAGAGGATAGAAGGAGGTGGTCAGGTGGGTCTCTCTAGAATAGCTCCTCCTCCACCACAGGACTTCAGGGCCTCCCCCAGCTCTCCCCTAACCCCACCCCCCGCCCCCGCAGCCCTCTGCTTCCCGTACTTCTGAGAGTTGAGTTGCTCGATGACCTGGAAGAACTTGGCATCCCCAGTATCCAGCTCATCGTCTAGTCCCCGAGGGGTGCGGCTCCTGTACAGTGACAGCCAAGCCTGTTACTATGGAGGCCCTCAAAAGTGCCTAGGTAAAGCAGAACAGTTCCCCAGGGAGGTTTCACCCAATCTGCCCCACTGTCAAAGATGTTCAGGCCTCCTTACCGGTCCAGGCTCCACTGGGGGCTGAAGGCCTCCTGTTGGGAGAACACATAATGGTGAGTATTCCCTCTGCATGAAGACAGACTGTGAACATGACTGTATGTTCTACACATGTCCTTGACCTTGGACATTTGACCTAGTTGTTTCTTCTGCTTCTAATGGCTTCCCTCCCTCCCTGTACCAACTCCCACTTACCCACGAAGGGGCATTTCAAATGCTATTTCCTTCTTAAAATTTAATCCTAACTCTAGATTTCCACTGTCTTTAAATCCTTTATTTCCTCCTGGTGTCCATCACTTAACTGGGCAACGCTTTATCTTCTCTGTGTTTGTTGGTTGCTAGATCTGTCTCACCTTCCTTAAAAACTGCAGACTCTAACAGCAAGGACATTCCCATCACCCTTGAATGCCCCAAAATTCATTGGCTTGATTAGATGCGGCTACGTGGCAAATACTGACTCCTCTCTGACCTTTTGTGAGGCCATCTAGGCTGAGCTGAGAGGTGGTTGAAGGAGATAACAAGGGATGGAAAAGAAGGAAGAAGAATGGAAATCAATTTGATGATAATCACTCTCTTCTTCACTAGAAGGAATATACAACATATGCAGAGATATGAAAACGAAGAATCACTGAGTGAAAAAGAGCAGTCACTGAGGGAGAGAGTGATGTTCTGTGGGCCGCAGACTAGTGCAAGAAGTATGCTGCTCACTCTTCCCTACCCTCCTTGGTTCATTTGATGGAAACGGGATCACAAATCAAAACCTGGTATACAGGAGGAGGGCGACTGTGAGATACTGAGAGGGATGGCACATTCTAGGCATGGCATCTATGCACATATAGGCCTAGCTTTGTCAACCTACTCCCTATGCCTGTAAAGTACATGATCTTATTCATTTCTGTCTTTTAAAGTATTAGCCGAGCACCTGCCACAGAAAGTATTCAAAAAGGGAGCTGGAGAGATTGTTCAGTGGTTAAGAACATCGGCTGCTCTTCCAGAGGACTTGGGTTGGGTTTCCAGCACCTATATGGTGGCTAACAACGAATCATAACTCCAATTCCAGGGGATCCAATGCCCTCTTCTGGCCTCTTTGTGCAATGCATGCATGTGGTGTACGTACTTGTAGGCAAAGCACTTATACACATAAAATTTTTTAAAATTAAGAAAAGAAAGTACTGAAAAATGTGAGGGGTAGGTGGCTGTGGTATCCTTGATGAGCTCTTGACTCAAACAAAAGAAAACAGGGCTGGGATCAATGCGTGACTGGAGTGTCCTAGCACAGACACTGCCCCACTGTTCCAAAGTTACACATATTTAAAAGTGAGTAGATGATGGGCTAGGCACGTGGCTCAGTTGGTAGAGTGCTTGCCTAGAATGCTTGAAGCCTTGGGTTTAATTCCTCACATCACATCAAACTGGGTGTGGGGGACCACACTTGTAACTCCAGCACTTGGGAGGTGGAGGCAGGAGGATCAGAAGCTTCAATGCTACCCTTGGTTACATAGTTCAAAGCCAGCCTGGGATACATGAGACCCTGTCTAAAAAAAAAAAAAAGTAAGTAGATGATGAGTCTCAGGACCACTAACATTTGACTGGAGTTCCTAGATCTTTAGGGGCTGAGAAGTGGAATTTCTGGGCCAGTGAGGCCCCGCTTCACCTGGGAGATAACACTGTACAAGCTATGCTTGCTATGCCAACCCTTCCTAGCTTTCACACCAAGGCCCTGGTGAGCCTTCTTATTGCAGGAATTGCACCCAAGCTTGTCTCACGGTTCTTGGACTTGTGGCAATTGCACACATCATTCCTTCTGTACCCTGGAGGCCTCATTCTGCAACAGGGCGTGAGCTCCAGGAGTCTTCCTCTCCTTCCTACCAGCCTAGCCCTTCTGAACTCGCCCCTTCCCTGAGCTGAGGCTTAGAACAAATTGAACTATGGCATGCAGTGTCCCCCTCCCCATGCTGTGTTTACTGGTCTCTAGCCTTCCCCCCTGATGGATAGAAATGGAGAGGATGTAGTACAGAAGTATTCTGAAGACATCTCAAAAATCAACTCGGTCTCTCTGGTAGAGGATGTTCTGGGAGATCTCAGAAAGGTGGCTAGAATGTGGAGCAGATGGAAAAAATGGTACATTGGGGGTGGCAGGCTGAGGTGCAGGCCTTTAGGAATATGACCTGGCCCCTGTACTGATCATTGACTCCAAGAACCAACCAGTGTGAGCGATCCAGGTTCCTACACTGGTGGTGGGTCACAGGTTACCTCAAGGTGCTACACATAAGGTCATTCAGTAACAGGCCCTGTCCTAGATTCACTTAGGCAGGAGGTTAGCCTGCTTCTTCCACTTGTCCACCACCCTGCCTGCTCATGGTGCCTTCCTTCTTCAAGGCCATGTGAACTTTTTACTGTCATCCCCTTTTCCCTATGTTTAAGCAGTGAGGACCAGAAGCCAAAACCAGCTTGTCCCCCACCTTTTTAATTTTAGAACACACTGAAGTTGCAGGAATTGAACTTCATGGAGGCATTTCCTGGTAGGATGGGTATGCAGTATTGAAATCTGAGTCAGAAGGAAATGAGGTTTCAGAGGAAGGGGGCATTGAGGAGCAGTGGGCATGGTGTCTGTGGGGACCTTGCATGGAGGTGAGCTCACGGACCTGTGATCTTTGCTCTTGCTCTGGAAGGGAGGGTAAGGAAAGGTCTGAACCAGTGGCTGGGGCAACCAGGCCTTGGGATGTCACAAATCATCAAGCGGCTTACTGGGGGTAAGGGGAGGCTGGGAGTAGAGCCTCAGAACAGTAGAGGTTGTGCAGGGGCTCATAATGGATGTATACATACCGGGAGCGGAGTGGAAGTGGATACAGGACTGTCAACGTGGCTCAGGTGGGCGAAAGGTTTGGCTGCACCCCAAGACTCTAGGTAACGGGTCATCAGTAGTGATGGGCGCATCTTGTGGCCCTCCAAAGAGGACAGTAACCCTCCTGCTGTGCCCTTCTCATCTTCCTCTTTGGCCTGGAACATGTGAAGTCTGAGAGTAAAGATCACAGACATTTCCCGACTCTATTCCCAGCTTGCCCCTCTCCCCCGATCAGGGCACAGGAACTCAGTTTCTGGCATAGAAGAAAGACCAGTCTTGTTAACTAAATGGTTTGCTTGGTCTAGCCCATGGGGTCCAAGCTGGGCTTTTACCCGAGGATCAATGACCAGGTATGTAGGCTCGCCTAGCTCCCGAAGGTATGGGTCTCGGTGTTCCATGGCTACGTCCTCCACAGCATAAACTCCTGCCAGCAAGGCCAGGGTAGCGCCTGTGATATGCACTCGCCTGGAAGGAAGGGGCAGTGAAAATCTGGAGGGACGGCCTCCAGACCTCGTAGTTCCTTCAAAGGCTGTGCCTGGAGGTGTGACATCAAGAAAGGTCTCATGTTATAAGAGGTGCCTCCCAACACCCCATAATCTCCCTGAACCCCACACGGAGTTTATCTTAAGGAATTAAGAATAGGGTGGCAGTATGTGAGAGGTCTGGTCCATCCCTTGCTGTGGCTGCCTGGGGTTTCAAGTCTTACCCTGGTACACCACCTGCCTCCATGTGGTTGGCCAATGTGACGTCATGAGACCAGACATCATACTGCCACTTCTGTAGCCCGATGACTCCACAGAGCACACTGCCTGAATGCACACCCACACGCATGTTGATGTCTACACCAGTGGCTGCCCGAAGTTTCCTGAGCAGAGTGTGGGGCAAGCTGAGTCCTGCCACAGCCCTCCTCTTCTCAAGAAGGGTTCTTTCACCCTGCCTCCCACATCCCTTCCCACGTCCGTCCCTTTGTAGTCCTCCTGCCCACTTCCCAAGCTGACCTGATGGCCCGGCACATGTCCAGTCCCATGCGTACACAGTTGATGGCATGGTCTGGCAGCGAGAGTGGCAGCCCGGAGACACAGTAGTAACAGTCCCCTAGGATCTTGATCCGCATGCATTCGTGCTCCTGGGAGCATGTGTGTGGGTGTGTAGAGGAACCTGGTTAGAGGCCAGAGGGGTAGGAGGGAGTTTGGAAAAGTGGGGGAGTGACTGACATTTCTGAACTTCTGAGGTTGGGAGTGTCTAGATCAGATATAGGGGCTCCCTTGATACGAGGCTATGTCTTTCTCAGAAGGGATGACCAAGTGGCTCTTCCCAGTTTTGGTATATGTAGGGCATACCCAGATCTGAGCACATGGAAGTATCTCAGGATTGAGGGGTAAGGGGGCAGACCCCAAACTAGGTTGTATCCTTGGGGTCTGATTAGTTGCTGAGTTGTAGAGGGCAGATATTTCTTCTGGAAGCCTTCACCCCCGACCCTGAGGTCTGAATACTTGAAAATCTCTACGCATATGTGAGGGCATTGTGGTTGGGACAGCTGTAGAGATATGAAACAGTCTCTGGGGTTTAAAGTGTGTAGTGACAATTTCCCGAGTGGGAATGCGAGCAGTTCCCACTTCCACTGGAGTATCTGGAAGCTTGCTGGGCTCAGAAGTAGGATGGGGTTCCTAGAAGGCAGGAGCTTCTCTTGCAAGGGGCTCCCTGGAATTTGGTAGTTGAGAGCCCCTGGGTGGGGAAGAAGCACCTCTGACCTTGGCAATCTGGTCAAACTTGCCGAAGAGCTCGTTGAGCATGAGTACCAGCTCCTTAGGGGAGCACTCGCTGGCTAGCCGTGTGAAGCCCACAATGTCAGCGTACAGCACACTGCAGGGAAGACTGTATTAGTGGGGCCAGGGTCTCAGCCCAGAGCCCTTCCCCTCCAGCTGCCCTTCCTCATACCTAACTCCTTGGTGCCTCTTGACATATAGGCTGTGGAAATTGTTTGTGTTCTCCGGTCGTGAGCCCTGTCCAGCCTGCAGCCGTGCCATGATCTCTGCTTTCATCTCTTGGGCCAGGTAGGCAGGAAGGATGGACAAGAGAAGGTGCTCCTGGGGGAGGACCCTATAAGCACCAACCCTCCCACCCTTCTGGACCCTATAACCAGGAACCCCAGCTCTCAAACTATCCAGGATCCCACATAACACATGGTACCAACCGGTATGCTCCCCCATTCTTCTAGTCCCTCTTGCAGGACTCCAGCACCCCATTCTTTCCTGATCACTTTTGGGGACTGAACTCAGGGTCAACACCTGATTTGAGATCTCCCTATAATATCATAATTTCATTTTAAAATTTAATTTTATTATTATTGTGTGTGTGCATGATGTATGTGTGTGGGTAGGATATGTATGCTACTGCACACTTATAGCGGTCAGAGAACAACTGTAGAGTTGGCTTTCTCCTTCCACTTTTACCTGGGTTCTATGGAACCAAACTCAGATCATCAGGCTTGTGCGGCAAGGGCCTGACTCACTGAGCCATCTCACTGATCCCACAACTTTCTTAACCGCTTTCATAAGTTTCAAATTGAGCCTGGCAGCTACATTTCAAGAGTGGGCAATAGTCACATTTCATACAAAAGAGGGAATACCTTAGAAAGGCAAATCAATTGTCCAAAGCCACTCAGTATGAAGGCGCTAAATAACTATTCTCTGAGCCACTGCCCCTCTCTGCCTCTTAGGCACTACTGACCTGGTGCTTTTTCTCTGTGTCCAGCCTCCGGCGTGAGTGCAGGGAGCTGAGTGCTTCCCGGAATGTGGCACGCAAAGCTCGTTCCATCAGGGCCTTGTGGTACGCTCCCACCACATTCCCACACAGGAACAACACTGCATTTGCTGCCAGCTGTGGGTAAGGGCTAGCCTCAGAAGGAGCAGCACCACGTGGGGTTGGGAGTGTCTATGTGTAGCTGCAGTTGGCTACAAGAATGAGATGGGGGGGCAGGCTCTACAGTTAGGGACCTAAGTATCTCGGGACAATTGGTGCCACGCTGTGACATCTGTGGGGTGGTGGTGGGGAGTCTTCTTCTGTCCCTCACGCTGTCTGCTGTAGACTCTTGGCTACTGGGCCAACCTCTTAGGTCTAGAAAATTTGCATCTATATTACCTCTGCTATTCCACCGCCCTCACCTTCTGGACTAAAGCACTCAAGTTCTGAATTACATTCTCCATGAGTGTTTCCCCATGTACTTCTGTCACTGTGAGGGACCATGGCTCGCTTCCCCAGGGGCACAGAGCCCTCTTCTGGTACAGGCGGGCTTGTGTGCCAGCTCTAAGAGGACACTGTGGGGAGTCTATCCTGTGCTCAGGGTGGACCCCTACCTCAGACTCCCAGCTTGGCTAATGCCAAGAGGAGCTTCTATCACACAGCAGAGCCAGCTCCCGCACTGTGCTGGACATTGCATTTTTACCTGTGGTAGCAGTGCGGGCTGTGAATCGGGCTGCCATCCGAGGTACAGCCCAAGGACAAGCAGGTGTGAGAGTGACGAGGTGAGGCCTGCTGCGGCAGCATCCCGCATGCCCAAGGGCAACATGGCGTACACAGTAAAGATGATGAAGAGGAAAAATGACACCTGGAATAGGGTGTGAGAGGCTAAAAGCTGCACAAGGCCTGCGTTTCAGCTCCACATTTCCCCATCCCTTGGCCGTGATTCTGCTCACCTGGTCCCAGGCACTTACTACGCCCCCCGTGAACAGGAAGCCATGGCCTAGGGCCAGCAGTGCAGCCCATATTAGGCCAGAGAGAGGTCGTGTCCAGCGCTGCAGTCTTTGCTCTCTAGAAGCTAGCCCCAACAACAGCGAGAAGCCACCCAAAGCGCACAGCACAGTGGTCAGGAAGCTTGTGTCTGAGGTCAGCTCCTGTGAAGAAAGGTTGTGTGAAGCAAGGTTGGAAAGGGATGCTTTGGAGTTTGCTAATGGTGAGGAGGAAGAAGCCACATGGGGGAAGAACCAGCAGCTCTCCAGATCAGTTCTCAAAGTGTCCCAATCCCATGTACAAAAAGAAAACAGGGGGGCTGGAGAGATGGCTCAGAGGTTGAGAGCACTGACTGCTCTTCCAGAGGACCTGGGTTCAATTCCCAGCACCTCCAGTTCCAGAGGAATCTGAAGCCCTCTTCTGACCTCCATGGCATTGCATGACACACGTGCACTCACATACATGCAGGCAATATACTCATACACATAAAAATTTCCTAGAAAAATCATTTGCTAAACTGATCTCATCAGAAAAACAAAACTTAATTTCTTTAAAAAGTTGAAAAAAAATTTTTTGGTCTTTTTGAGACAAGATCTCCCTATAGCCCCAGCTGTCCTGGAACTCACTATGTAGACCAGGCTGGCCTTGAACTCACAGAGATCTGCCTGCCTCTGCCTCCCGAGTGCTGGGACTAAAGGCGTGCACCATCACGCCTGGGAAATAAAATATTTTTTAAAAAAGAAAAGAAAAGAAAACAGCGCAGGTGAGATGGCTCAGCGGGTAAAGGTGCTTGCAGTAAAGCCTGATGACCTGAGTTCGATCCCCACAGTCCACATGGAGAACCAACTTATGAGAGTTGTCCTTTGACCTCCACATGCATGCCTTGGCATGTGCACATGAACACACACACACACAATTGAAAGAAAACAATTAAAAAGAAAACAGGGCCGCCTCTGAAGTCCTGACACTTTTCTCCATAAGAATCTAGTCTCACATGGTTCAACTGAATGTCTCTCTTGCATGTTGCAGTGGAACCTGGAACAGCGATGGGAAGGCCTGGTTCCAACACAATGCTATTTGTAAGTCCACAGTCCTTCTGCATTTCAATTTATTTTTTATTTCTTTGTCTTGGTTCAAGGCAGAGTCTCTCTCTGTAGCCCTGGATGTTCCAGTATCTGCTTTGTAGTGCATACTGTCCTTGAACTTATGGCAATCCTCCTGCCTCAGTCTCCTGAGTGCTGGGCACTAAAGGAATATATCACCACACCTAGCTTTTGTTTGTTTTTTTGTTTGTTTCTTTTGTTTTGAGGCAGGGTCTTCTGTAGCTCAGGCTGGTTTCTAACATACTATGTAGCTGAAGATGAATTTGAACTGGTCCTCTTGCTCCCATTTCCCAAGTTCTGGGATTCCAGGTGTGCCCTACCATGCCTGGCTATACCCACTGCTGTGGGTATCTGTCAAAGGGTAACTAGCTGTAGCAGCATCTGCTTGTCATCCAGAATGAATGTTACCCAAATGGGCTAATTTGCTTGGGAACATCCTCCCTCCAGGGGCCATGGTTCCAAACTTCACAAATAGCTCCCTGAGCAGTCAGGTTTCAGTAATTCCTTATCTGCCAAGTGCTGAGATCTCATCATTGTCTTCTTTTCTAGTCTGGAAGTCCTACCATTACCCTCACAGTTTGTGCTCACCTTGTTCTGTACTTTGGGGTAGACCAGTGGGGACTGGCTGTGCCCAGTGATCCCCCCACCCCCACCCCAGCCTCCTAGGAGTGAAAGAAAAATGGAACTGAAGACCCCTTTCCTACCTAAAGAGAAATTGGAACAAAAGTGGGGGGGGGTACCAAAAAAACAAACAAAAAAACTGAGAGAAGGGAATGTGCCTTTTGGAAGCCTGTGGGCACAGTTAACTGCCACACATTCCCAAAACGGGAGAGAAAAATCAGGAAATGAATTCCCCCAGGGTCATGAGTAGAGTTTCCCCTCTGGAAAACTGGAAAATCCGGTGTTGGATTGACTCTAGAACCAGCAGGACATCGTGAGAGGCATCCCAGACTCACCTACCTCCTGGAGTAGACGCAGAAATCAAGGCTAGAGGGTGGAGGGCTTGTTCACCCGTGCCCAGAGTAACAACAGTTCATGACCTGGTCCATACTTATTATTCCGGTTCCCAGCAAAGAAAATATTGGCAAGAAGACCTCACAAATAAATCCCAGCCCTCACAATGTCCCAGCCCGAGGCCGAGTCGTGGCCCTGGATGGCACAGGTTTCCCAGCCCTCCTTACCCTGCCGCTGGCCCAGGCGACGGCGGGCAGTGCCAGGAGCGCGCACAGCACGATCACCAGAAGCAGTAGCAACAGCGGGTACTGTTGGCTCAGGCTGTAGTAGGTCTCATAGAAGAGGTCTTCGCTGGGGGGAGGCCGGGGGCTGAAGAGACGGGCCATGGTCTCCCCCGCCCCAGCCTCGGCGGGACCCAGGACCCTGGGAATGGCAGGGCGCTGGGTTTATAGTTCCCAGGGGCCGCCGCGCCTCCCTACCCCCAGGAGCCCCAACCACCCGAGCCCCTAACCTCAAAGAAGCAATCGGGCCTCCTGCCAGGTACTCCCTGCATCCAGCTTCCAGCTGGCTGGTGGCTCCCAGTTCTTCCCACAAACCCAGACTGTGCCCTATTAAAAACCTCTCCCGAGGAGCAGGATTTGGAGTTGCGGAGAAGGGGCCCCAGGATCTCCCTACCCACCAACTCACTGAGCGAGAAGCTCGGGAGTCTCAGGCTGCAGAGCGGCTAGGTCCTGGGAGGTAGCCCGGGTGGGCTGCTGGCCGACTCACCCTCGTTGCTTGTGGCTCTGAGCCTCGGGCGACAGGCGCTTCCCTCTCGGCCCCAAGGCCCCCTCCCACTTCCCCGACGGTCCAGCCCGGCCCCTTCCCGCGCTGGAGGAGCCCGACTCCCCAGCCTCCTCCCCCGCGGCTCGATTGTGTCTCCTAACCATCGCCTTCCCTCCCTTTTCCGCACCCTCAATGAAGAGCAGGTGGTCCTTGGGAGAAGCTGGACATGGTGAGAAGGACCTAAAGGGATGCGTTAAAATAAAGGCACCGCATTTGCAAGTGGAGAGACAGGGGAAAGGCTGGATGAAGCCTGGGGATGTGAAGCCCCGAGAAAACGTCAAATGGTCCTGACATCCTTTGAGAGCTGGGCTCTAGGTCAGAACAGGAGCAGCCTTTCAGCTACTGTGGCCAAGTGTGACCTGTTCAAGTTCCCACCGTCTCTAGCTCCTTAGCACAGGGCTCCTGTGTGTAGCTTGTTCAATTATAGTGTCCACCCTTGGACACTGAGAATCAAAAGTGCTCCCATGCTTAGAAAGCAAGGTGCGTGTGTTTGGCTACAGTGGAAGGAGGTGATTGTATGGGAGATAGCCTAGAGATCCAGGGGGCTTTGGATTTCCACAGACACCCTTCTTCTCTGGGGGTCCCAAAGCCTAGTGCCCCAAATCAAGAAGAAGAGGGAGTGGTGGTGAGACCTCAGACTATCCTGTGAGTTTAGACTGAGGGTGGGGTCATTCCTGAGCAGTAGAGGAAGGACTCCACCCTGAGATTGAAGTACCAGAGAGCCAGGCCTCTGTGATTCCTTCCTGCTACCAGCTGGGCCCTGACCTTATGTGCCAGGAGGTTGCCTATACCCAACCCCTCTTCCTGCTTTGGACGGCCAACAGCACCTTCTCCTCATCCCTGGTAGCCAGCCCCACCTTTGCTGTCCTGGATGACAACTCGGACTCCCACAGTGGCTAACATTTCATGATGTTTATTGACTCTTGAGTGGTAGATCACAAAGTCAGTTAGGGTGTAGGCCTAACTGCTATCAAAGAATGTTGAGGGCCACAGAAGGGAAATGACACTGGATGTCTCAGCCTCTCCCAATGGCTTAGAATATGCTTTAATTCCAGGATGATTATACCGGCTCTGTGGCCCACTCCACAGAGAGCGCTTGCAGATCCTCTCTGGAATCTACTGGTAGAAGAGCTGCCAGCCCCAACCCCTGCCAGAGGGTGTCGGGCCCTGGTTGGGGAAGGCAGTTGTTGGTTGTATAGTCAAGTAGTTGTTTCCAATTTGCACTTGAGAGCTGTTATTGATGGTAACAGTCCATGGCCCTTTAAGAGAAAGGGGGATGGTGATGGGAGGGTTCAGTGATTGGAAAGTCCTGATTTAACAAGCTTTGGGCTGGGGCAGAGACATCTTGTGTTCACTCTGAGAAATGCAAGTACAGGGTGTAGGCCTGCTAATGGCTGTGTCAGAGTGTGCCCTGTGCCTTCTCAGGCAGGCTGTCTCCCTAGAACTGGTCTTGCAGAAGCTTAAAAGGAATCGTACCTGATCCTTGGGTGTGTTTGCTGAGAGACTCTCTGGACTACTATAGCAGCAATGGAGCTGAGGGGGCTCAGGGGGCTGGTGCTGGTGAAAGTCAGCAGAGCCAGGGGCAAACCCAGACTTTGTTGTATGGGATCCTCTTCTAGTGGATCTCACTTTCCTCATGCATTAAATGAGAAGATCTCTAGTCTTTTATTCTCACCTCTAATGTACCTTAGAGCTACATATGGGTGTTGAGGAAGAAAGTGGTAGGAAAATTGAGCGGGAGAAAGGAAAAGGGTAAAGAATGGGTACCTGCTGGAGGGTTTGGCCCTGGGGTCCAAGAAGACCAATTGGTGCTATGTCTCTCATCCCCCTGCAAACAACATAGAGTTCTCAGGCTTCCCAGTCGGGAGCCCAGCTCCCTCACTGCATGCCCCAGCCCTAAGTTTCCCTTGGTAAGAGGCCATACCCTAGTTTTGTAGTTGCCTCGCCTGATTCTTTTGGGGGCCAGGACCTGGAGTCCCAGTTAAGACTGAGCTGGGTATCTGGCCTCTGAAAGGGAGAGTATCACGAGCTTGGGAAGTTCCAGTTACTGTATTTGAAGATGTCTCTGCTGTTCTGGCACCACCAATCTGTTCTGCCTGTTCCCTGCTCTTCCTGGTAAGGCTTGTGCATTTTTCAGGAACTGGGCTGGACGATCCCTCCAGATTCAGGTTGTTCAGCATCTCAGAAATTATGGGATCAGTACATAGGTATTGGTTTCTTGGGGTTGCCCCAAGGCCATCTAATTCTGTACCTCTTTGGCCTGACTCCGAGACGGACAATTTTCTGTTGCTGCTTCTGTGCTCAGACAGAAAGTTCTTCACCTACATGGACAGGAGGAGCATGTGAGTCATGAGTTAGGGAAGCTAGAGTAATCCAGAGGGAATCATTTCTTGGTTTGTAGTTTGTTTCCTGGAAATTCAGGGGTAGGATAGGGTGGGAGGGGGATGAGGGTCAAGGCATAAAGAATGGTGGTCAGTGAACATTCACTAGACCATATGTGCCATCCCGAGACCAGCTCCTGGGTAGGAGGTGGTGTTAGAAACTCACCTCAGACACAGCAGCATCTGCCTTGTTTTGCACCAGGATGTAGGCATCATTGGTTTTTGGTCGGCAATCTGAAAGACACCAGAGTGAGTCCTATGTGGGCAGAACCTCTTTCCCTGGGAAAAGCCCCCCGCCCTGCTGAAGCCCCAAGCCTCTCCTAGGTGCCAGAGAAATGGCCAGCTTACCCTGGAAGGATGGCCTATCCTTGGGGTCATCACTCCAGCACTGCTGCATTAACTCCTTGAGTCCTTCCAAACCAGGAGTGTCAGTACTGGATGGCGGCATCTCTGCCAATGGGGGCCGATTCTGCCTTTCACACACTGCTCCATAAACTAGTGATGTCTAGTCTACCACTGGAGTGGGGCAGGGTGGTGATAGGAAAAGGTGTTTAGGGTATGAAGAGATAACGTGTGTCCAAGGAGGAGGGGGACATGAGGATGGAGGATGGCAGTCTGAGTAGGTGAGCACAAATGGGAGGACTCAGGGTTTTAGGTGCTTTGGGGTGCCTAGGGTAAGCGTCCCAGAGTCCGTCTAGAGTCTTACATTCGGCTTCTCTTCCAGCTAGCACTGCCCACATGAGGATCCCAAAGCTGCATGAGACACAAGGTAGAGGCTTAGCTGACCACTGGCAAGATTCCTCTCCCATATCCCATCCCTTAGAAGAGTCCACAGAGAGGTAAAGAAATACAGGGTGTGTGTGGGAGCGGATATCTTACCTGTAGACATCACTGGCTGTGGAGGCCTTCCGGTTTACATTAGCAAGTAGTTCTGGGGCCAAGTAGGCTAGCGTGCCTCCTGGATACTTGGACCCTGCTTCTGACTGCGACCCTCCCTGAAATGTAGACAGGCCAAAATCTGCTAGCTGTAAAAGAAAGGAAGAAGAAGGTATTGGATGAAGGGGGCCAGACACCCTCCAGATATTTCCTTCTCTCCTTCAGAAGGTACAGGTCCAACTTTGTGAAGGCAGCTTGGAGGGCCAGAGGAACGGTGAGTCAGTGAAGGCCTTAGGGAGGAAATTTAGGTCCCTCATGGGCAGGCCTGGGTCTAGGTCTTTCTGAGTGTCAAGGATAGGCCTGTGGAACTGATTTAGGTGGGTAGGAGGGCTTCTGTTTACCCGGTATGGCCAGGGTTAAAATCTTGCCGGGGCCCTGGATGCCTGAGCATTCAGAGGGACAGGCTGAGGGTATTCAACAGACAGGGCTGTAGATGAAGCTGGGGTAGCTCTGGGGCAGGGCAGGACCTTGTGGCAAGCCTGCTCTGGAGTGTGATGGATTGACCTTGGCGTGTAGCTCTGGATCCAGCAGAACATTGGAGGGCTTGAGGTCCCGGTGCAGGAGCACGGGGTTCAGGCTGTGCAGATAACACATCCCTAGTACCAGTTCTTGCAGTAGGCGGCAGAGGAGTGGCCAGGGCCTAGGGCACTTGGGCTGCAGCAGCCCAGCGAGGGAGCCGTTCTCCATGAAGCCTGTCACCAGAGCCGGCCCAGACACGTAGTCCCACTCCAGGTTCTCGATGGTTCCCAGCAGGAGCAACATGTGCTGGTTACACAGACTGGCCATTGCCTTTACCTCCCTGGATAGGGCCTTCCTGTTCCGGGAGAATCGGGTCAGGGTCAGGGAAGAGTCCCCCCTCCCGGCTGGGAGCTCCGACGCACAGAGGCTCCGCCCCCTCGGGTCTCACGAGTTCACAATCTTGACCGCCACATCATGGCCCCACGTCGTGTGTTGTGCCCGGAACACCGCACCGAACCCGCCTTTGTCCACAAACTTTGGATTCTTCAACTCATCCGGGTGCACGAGAGAAGCAGGGGTACCATGGGGCCTGAGAGAGGCGTCTTGTCCACTCCGCGGCCTGCCCCGCGCGCCCCTCCCACCCCTGCCACCCCGAGGTCGGGCCCCCTTTGTCCCGAGTTTTGTCCCCTGGCCCCCGCAAAGGCGTTGTGAATGTGTTCTGAGTGGGTGTGCCGGAGGCTGCGGACCCACCGCCCACTCCCCCACTCACCATAACTTGACACCAGACATCGAAGTGCCAGAGGCTTCCTTGTTGTGCTGCAGGGATGCAGTGACTTCTACAGTGCGGGGTTTAGGTGAGAGGGAGGGTCAGCAGAGGGGTCCACGGATGTCCAGCCAGGCGTGGATTCCGCTTCCCAGGTCGTTCTCCCTACCTCGAATGAGTAACTGAACTACTACTTCCTTCTTCACGGGGAGCCTCGGCGATCCCCGCCCCCAGGGTGGGGCAGAGAAAACTTAGGGCTATTGTTTCCTCTGCACCCAATGAATCTGCAACCACCTTTGGAGTAGGTGGGCCTCAGGTGTGACACTGGAGTCCTCAACATCCAGAACTCACAACCAACTCACCACAACAGCCCATCTCTTTCCTTCCTCTGTATTTCACAGCTCCACACTTGCTAGGGCTGGAATGGAGCTGTGCCTAGGAGGGTTTTGTGGGTCTAGGCTTATGATTCTCCTAAGATCGTAGGCAATGCCTATCAGCCTTGACATGTGCCAGGTACACATATTAACTTGTTTAATCTTATATCAACCTTAAAGGCTTTATTACCTTTCCATAGATGAGGAAACTGGGCCACTGGTCGGTTAAGCACCTTGCTGAAATAAGTATGGAAATAACTTAGTTCTGCTCCATCAAGCTAGCCTATATTTATTTATTAAATTTTTTGGGGGGGGTCTTTTTGAGACAGCTGGCCTAGAACACACATATAGACCAGGCTGGCCTTGAATTCACAGCGATCTGCCTGCCTCTGCCTCCTGCTGGGATTAGACACGTGCACCACCATGCCCAGTTTATTTAAAAGTTTTTGAGGCAGGGCCTCACTATGTAGCCCTGACTGCTCTGGGACTTGCTGTGTAGACTAGGCTGGCTGGCCTTGAGCTCACAGAGATCCGCTTGCCTCTCAAGTGAGCACTGGGATTAAAGGTGTGCACCATCGCACTTCATCTATTTATTTATGTGCACATGCACACACACACATGTAGGGGTACATACCATGGTGTGTGTGTGTGTGTGTGTGTGTAGGTCAGAGGAACACCTCAGGTGCTCATATTGACCTTCCATCTTAAAGAGACAGGGCCTCTTCATTGTTTTCTTCTGTGTACTTCAAGCTGTCTGACCTGGGAGTTGCTCTCTATTTTCCTGTCTCCACCTCCTATCCACTATAGGAACACTGAGATCACAGACACATGCGACTATGTCTGGTTTCACTTGGGGTATAGAGATTTGAACTCAGGTCCTCCTGCTTGCACAAGAGCTTTACCTACTAAGCCATCTCCCTAGCTCAAGCTAGCCTATTTTTGCAAATGCTTCAAGGGCTACATTATTCAGCGGGTGGTGCAGGTGGCTGGGGAAGGTGTGAAGCATGCAACAGTGTATTGAAAGGTTCTTATGTCTTAATACCTGCCAAGGCCACACAGCCGCTTTTGCCCAGGCAAGCCCTTGGCATTGGTAGGGCTTGTCTGTTCTATGAACAGAAGCTCGTGGAGCTGGAAGACTAAGCCAGTCCCTGGGCATGTTGGCCAAGCTGGGTATGTTGTGGTATATGTTGCATTAGACACAACTCAGAGCTTCCCGCCTTGTCCCTTGCACAGCATCTCCTTCAACAAAGCACTCTGATTGATGTTCCTGACAACATATACTCTTGAGGAAAGCCTTTGAGGACTCAGGAGCATGGGGAACTGCAAGAATTAAAGGTAGACAAGAGATGCCCATATTTTAACTCCCTGTGGCATGACTGTGGCTGGAGGCCTAGGGAACTGGAAAGAGTCAGATCTAGGCATTCAGTCCTTTAATGGGAGCCCCAACCCCACAGTTATGTGTCAATGCTGAGAGACTCGCTTTGGTACATGTTTTCCATGCTCTCTAGTAGTCCAGAGGCTCTGCCAATGAGAGCAGAAGTGATCAGTAACTGGTTTCCAGAATGACTAGGAACCCCAGCAGCCACATCACAGATGGTGGTAGGGATAACCCTGCTATTTTGGAGCTACTTAGTTATTATTTGACTAGAGTCTCTTAAATAGTCACTACATGGCAAATATCTAGTAAATATTTGTTGAATTGATAAATTACTCAAAATTCAGAGGGTTTTTTGTTGTTGTTCTCTGTTTTTTTTCAGACAGGGTCTCCCTGTAGCTCTCATGTAGACCAGTCTGGCCTCCATCTCACAGAGACTGCCTCTGACTTCCGAGTGCTGGGATTAAAGGTGTATACCACTATGCTTGGCTCTTCTGGTCACTCGAGATGGAACTCCATACTTACTGGGAGGAAAGAGGGCACTGGGATCCTTTAATGTTTGCAGGCTTTCATCCTCACAGCAGATAGACTCTGTCTGAAGTAGTCTGTACTATGGAGATGAGGTGGCATCCCATAGAATCTAAGAAGGCAAGAATCATGGCCATCCTCAGGGAAAACTTTCTGTGATTCTTTTTGTTTTTGTCTTTTGAAACAGGGTCTCTCTGTAGCCCCAGCTGTCCTGGAACTATGTAGACCAGGCTGGCCTTGAACTCACAGATATCTGCCTGCTTCCCGAGTGATGGGATTAAAGGCATGTGCCACCTCACCCGGTTAACCGCCCCCGCTTTTTTTAAAGGGCAAGTGAGAGAGGTAGAGAAGCAACTCCTTGCAGCAGGGAGGGGTCCCCAAGTGGGTTGCCCCCAAAGACCTTTTTATAACTTGGTTGCTTAAGACTGGGACAAGACCTGGAGAGTCAGGGATAAGGCTCTGTGTTGACAAATCTTGATTGTCAACTTGACACATGTGGGAAGAGGAAACCTCAATTGAAGAATTTCCTTTATCAGATTGGCCTGTGGCCATATCTGTGGAGCATTTTCTTGGTTGATAATTGATGTTGGAAGACCCAGTCCACTGTGGGCAATACCATTCCTAGGCAGCTGGGTCTGGGCTGCATAAGAAAGGTAGCTGAGCAAGCCAGTAAGCGCGTTCCTTCATGGTCTCTGCTTCAGTTCCTGCCTTCAGATTCTTGACTTGAGTTCCTGCCCTGACTTCCTTCAGTGATGGACTGTGACCTGGAAGTGTAAGATGAAATAAACCCTTTCCTCCCCTAGTTGCATTTGGTCCAAGACTTTCTTCTTAGCAACAAAAAGGAATTACAACAGGCACCATGAAGCATAGGACCAGGAATGGTGACTCAAGATAATCTGAGCCCTTTAAATGAAAGAGGGACATAGAGAAGAGCCTGGAGAGCTAAAACAGTCTTCAGCTTCTGGGTGTGGTGGCGTACACTTTTAATCCCAGCACTCGGGGGGCAGGCAGAGGCAGGCAGGTCTCTGTGAGTTCGAGGCCAGCCTGGTTTACATAGTGAGTTCCAGGCCAGCTGGGGCTACAGGGAGACTCTGTCTCAAAAAGACAAAAAAGAAAAAAAGCTTTCAGGGAGTGGCAGGGGCTGGTGGTGTTCTAGGGGTGGCAGGTGTCGCAAGAGCTGATTTGGAGCTCTAGCCCCTCCTGTGGCCTGGTGCCTGTCACCTTAGTTTCCCCAGGCTTTAGGAGTCAGTTTGGATGCTCTGCCCCTGATGACTCTGATGAGCTTCAGCCCGTCCCCACTATAAGCCCAAGTGCCCTCTGCTTGGGTGCTGTGGGGTTGGAGGACAAGAAGCATGTGCAGTTCTCTTCTTGTACATTCTAGTCCCAGTCATCTTCCATTGTTTAAGAGATTCTATTGTAGGTCTGTTAGTGTTCGTTGGGGTGATAATAATGAAAATTATAAATATTCTCATTTTTCTTAGTGTTTTAATTTTAATAAATTGTTTGAATTTTTTTATATTGAGAATACATTACTTATTAACAGTTAACCAGGGAAAACTGTAATGCATGCAAAACTTTATTTTTTAAATAAATGTATTTAGTTATTTTTTGGTCTTTTTGAGACAGTGACTCCCTGTAGCCCCAGCTGTCCTGGAACTCACTATGTAGACCAGGCTGGCCTTGAACTCACAGAGATCCGCTTGCCTCTGCCTCCTGAGTGCTGGGATTGAAGGTGTGCGCCACCACGCTTGGCAAATTTATTTATTTTTTATTTCATGTGTATGTGTGTATTGGAGAAATGGCTTAGCGGTTAAGAACACTGACTGTTCTTGCAGAAGACCCGGGTTTGAATCCCAGCACCCACATGGCAGCTAACAGCTGTCTGTAACTCCAGTTCCAGGGGATCCGACAGCCTCTTCTGTCCTCCATGGGCATTGCACAGCATGGATGAACTTACCTACATGCAGGCAAAGCTTTATTTTTAAAGATGGATGCCGAAGTCTGTTGCTTCACACTTGTGAAAAAAATGAATCCTATATATCCAATAACAAGAAATAGATTAAATAAATCATGTGATAAAAATATGCATCCTTTAAAAAGATGCTGCAAAGCTGGATGTGGTGGTACCTGACTGTAATCTTAGTATTTGGAATGTGAACGCCAGAAGATTGCAAATTCAAGGCAAGCTTGGGTTAAATAGTGATACACTACCTCATTCTCCTTCTCCTCCCAAAAGATGCTGTCCACCTATATTTATTAATAGATGTTAATCATATATCAAATGAAAATACAGGTTATGAGACAGTAAGTACCATATTCTAATAGACTTTTGGTTTGTTTTAAAAATCCTCTTCTTGGCTGGAAAGATGGCGCAGCTGGAATTAACCTGTAATTCCAGTTCCAGGGGATCTGACACCCTCTTCTGTCCTCCGTGGGCATTGCACAACATGGGTGCACTTACATACAGGAAATACACACATACACATAAAATAAAAATAATAAATAAAAATATTTTAAAAACCCTCTTCCAATACATGGCTCCATGACTTGATTGCTTAGTGTGCCGATCCCACAAAAACACTCTTTCAGGGGCCATCAGGATGGCTCACTGGGTGGAAAACACTTGCTGTGAAAACCTGACAGCCTGAGTTTGAGCTACAGAACTCATGTAAAAAGCAGGATGCAGTAGTACTCACCTTCAGTCCCAGCACTCCCACAGCAAGATGGGAAGTGGATACAGGAGAATCACGGGGAAGCTTGCACCACAGCAGAAGCAAGGCAGATCCTGCCTCAACACAGTGAAATGTGCCAAATGACTGTAGCTGGGCATGGTGGCGCACACCTTTAAAAAAATTATTCATTATTTTTATTTTGTGTGTATGAGTGTATTGCCTGCATGT